GCGCCTATCTCTAGGGCCTATCTCTAGGGGCGCCCTATCTCACTAGGGGGCGCCTATCTCTAGGGCGCCTGGTCTCTAGGGGCGCCTATCTCTATGGGCGCCTATCTCTATGGGCCCTATCTCTAGGGGTGCCTGTCTATATGTGCGCCTATCTCTAGGGGCGGCCTATCTCTAGGGGCGCCTATCTCTAGGGGGCGCCTATCTCTATGGGCGCCTATCTCTATGGGCGCCTATCTCTCATGGGCGCCTATCTCTAGGGCGCCTATCTCTATGGGCGCCTATCTCTATGGGCGCCTATCCTCTAGGGGCGCCTATCTCTATGGGCGCCTATCTCTAGGGGCGCCTATCTCTATGGGCACCAATCTCTATGGGCGCCTGTCTCTTTGGGCGCCTATCTCTATGGGCGCCTATCTCTAGGGGCGCCTATCTCTATGGGCGCCTATCTCTAGGGGCGCCTATCTCTATGGGTGCCTATCTCTATAGGCGGCCTAGCTCTATGGGCGCCTATTCTCTAGGGGCGCCTATCTCTAGGGGCGCCTATCTCTATGTGCGCCTATCTCTATGGGCGCCTCTCTTTAGGGGCGCCAATCTCTAGAGGCGCCTATCTCTTTGGGCGCCTATCTCTATGGGCGTCTATCTCTAGGGGCGCCTATCTCTAGTGGCGCCTATCTCTAGGGGCGCCTATCTCTATGGGCGCCTATCTCTAGGGGCGCATATCTCTAGGGGCGCCTATCTCTAGGGGCGCCTATCTGTAGGGGCGCATATCTCTATGGGCGCCTATCTCTAGGGGCGCCTATCTCTATGGGCGCATATCTCTATGGGCGCCTATCTCTATGGGCGCCTATCTCTATGGGCGCCTATCTCTATGGGCGCCTATCTCTAGGGGCGCCTATCTCTATGGGCGCCTAACTCTAGGGGCGCCTATCTCTATGGGCGCCTATCTCTATGGGCGCCTATCTCTATGGGCGCCTATCTCTAGGGGCGCCTATCTCTAGGGGCGCCTATCTCTATGTGCGCCTATCTCTATGTGCGCCTATCTCTAGGGGCGCCTATCTCTATGGGCGTCTATCTCAAGGGGCGCCTATCTCTAGGGGCACCTATCTCTTTGGGCGCCTATCTCTATGGGCGCCTCTCTTTAGGGGCGCCAATCTCTAGAGGCGCCATTCTCTATGGGCGCCCATCTCTAGGGGCGCCTACCTCTAGGGGCACCTATCTATAGGGGCGCCTATCTCCAGGGGCGCCTATCTCTAGGGGTGCCGATCTCTAGGGGCGCCTATCTCTAGGGGCGCATATCTCTATGGGCGCCTATCTCTAGGGGCGCCTATCTCTATGGGCGCCTATCTCTTTGGGCGCCTATCTCTATGAACGCCTATCTCTATGGGCGCCTATCTCTATGGGCGCCTATCTCTATGGGCGCCTATCTCTAGGGGCACCTATCTCTAGGGGCGCTTATCTCTAGGGGCGCCTATCTCTATGGGCGCGTATCTCTATTGCGCGTATCTCTAGGGGCGCATATCTCTATGGGCTCCTATCTCTAGGGGCAACTATCTCTAGGGGCGCCTATCTCTAGCGGCACCTACCTCTAGGGGCGCCTATCTCTAGGGGCGCCTATCTCTAGGTGCGCCTATCCCTAGGGGTGCCTATCTCTAGGGGCGCCTGTCTCTAGGGGCGCCTATCTCTATGGGCGCCTATCTCTAGGGGCGCCTATCTCTAGGGTCGCTTGCCTCTATGGACGCCTATCTCTAGGGGCGTCTCGCTAGGGGCGCCTATCTCTAGGGGCGCCTATCCCTAGGGGCGCCTATCTCTAGGGGCGCCTACCTCTAGGGGCGCCTGTCTCTAGGGGCGCCTATCTCTATGGGCGCCTATCTCTATGGGCGCCTATCTCTAGGGGCGCCTGTCTATATGTGCGCCTATCTCTAGGGGCGCCTATCTCTAGGGGCGCCTATCTCTAGGGGCGCCTATCTCTATGGGCGCCTATCTCTATGGGCGCCTATCTCTATGGGCGCCTATCTCTAGGGGCGCCTATCTCTAGGGGCGCCTATCTCTATGGGCGCCTATCTCTATGTGCGTCATCTCTATGGGCGCCTATCTCTATAGGCGCCTATCTCTATGGGCGCCTATCTCTATGGGCGCCTATCTCTAGGGGCGCCTATCTCTATGGGCGCCTATCTCTATGGGCGCCTATCTCTATGGGCGCCTATCTCTAGGGGCGACTATCTCTAGGGGCGCCTATCTCTATGTGCGCCTATTTCTATGGGTGCCTATCTCTATGGGCGCCTATCTCTATGGGTGCCTATCTCTATGGGCGCCTATCTCTATGGGCGCCTATCTCTATGGGCGCCTATCTCTAGGGGCGCCTATCTCTATGGGCGCATATCTCTATGGGCGCCTATCTCTATGGGCGCCTATCTCTAGGGGCGCATATCTCTATGGGCGCCTATCTCTATGGGCGCCTAACTCTATGGGCGCCTATCTCTAGGGGCGCCTATCTCTATGGGCGCCTATCTCTAGGGGCGCCTATCTCTATGGGTGCCTATCTCTATGGGCGCCTATCTCTATGGGCGGCTATCTCTAGGGGCGCCTATCTCTATGGGCGTCTATCTCAAGGGGCGCCTATCTCTAGGGGCGCCTATCTCTATGGGCGCCTATCTCTATGGGCGCCTCTCTTTAGGGGCGCCAATCTCTAGAGGCGCCATTCTCTATGGGCGCCCATCTCTAGGGGCGCCTACTTCTAGGGGCACCTATCTCTAGGGGCGCCTATCTCCAGGGGCGCCTATCTCTAGGGGTGCCTATCTCTAGGGGCGCCTATCTCTAGGGGCGCATATCTCTATGGGCGCCTATCTCTAGGGGCGCCTATCTCTATGGGCGCCTATCTCTTTGGGCGCCTACCTCTATGAACGCCTATCTCTATGGGCGCCTATCTCTATGGGCGCCTATCTCTATGGGCGCCTATCTCTAGGGGCACCTATCTCTAGGGGCGCTTATCTCTAGGGGCGCCTATCTCTATGGGCGCGTATCTCTATTGCGCGTATCTCTAGGGGCGCCTATCTCTATGGGCTCCTATCTCTAGGGGCGACTATCTCTAGGGGCGCCTATCTCTAGCGGCGCCTACCTCTAGGGGCGCCTATCTCTAGGGGCGCCTATCTCTAGGTGCGCCTATCTCTAGGGGCGCCTATCTCTAGGGGCGCCTGTCTCTAGGGGCGCCTATCTCTATGGACGCCTATCTCTAGGGGCGCCTATCTCTAGAGTCGCTTGCCTCTATGGACGCCTATTTCTAGGGGCGCCTCGCTAGGGGCGCCTATCTCTAGGGGCGCCTATCCCTAGGGGCGGCGCCTATCTCTAGGGGCGCCTATCTCTAGGGGCGCCTGTCTCTAGGGGCGCCTATCTCTATGGGCGCCTATCTCTATGGGCGCCTATCTCTAGGGGCGCGGGGCGCCTATCTCTAGGGGCGCCTATCTCTATGTGCGCCTATCTCTAGGGGCGCCTATCTCTAGGGGCGCCTATCTCTAGGGGCGCCTATCTCTATGGGCGCCTATCTCTATGGGCGCCTATCTCTATGGGCGCCTATCTCTAGGCGGGCCTATCTCTATGGGCGCCTATCTTTATGGGCGCCTATCTCTAGGGGCGCCTATCTCTATGGGCGCCTATCTCTATGGGCGCCTATCTCTATGGGTGCCTATCTTTATGGGCGCCTATCTCTAGGGGCGCCTATCTCTAGGGGCGCCTATCTCTAGGGGCGCCTATCTCTATGGGCGCCTATCTCTATGGGCGCCTATCTCTATGGGCGCCTATCTCTAGGGGCGCCTATCTCTATGGGCGCCTATCTCTATGGGCGCCTATCTCTAGGGGCGCCTATCTCTATGGGCGCCTATCTCTATGGGCGCCTATCTCTATGGGCGCCTATCTCTATGGGCGCCTATCTCTTTGGCCGCCTATCTCTATGGGCGCCTATCTCTAGGGGCGCCTATCTCTATGGGCGCCTAACTCTAGGGGCGCCTATCTCTATGGGCGCCTATCTCTATGGGCGCCTATCTCTATGGGCGCCTATCTCTAGGGGCGCCTATCTCTAGGGGCGCCTATCTCTATGTGCGCCTATTTCTATGGGCGCCTCTCTTTAGGGGCGCCAATCTCTAGAGGCGCCTATCTCTTTGGGCGCCTATCTCTATGGGCGCCTATCTCTAGGGGCGCCTATCTCGAGGGGCGCCTATCTCTATGGGCGTTTATCTCTATGGGCGCCTATCTCTATGGGTGTCTATCTCAAGCGGCGCCTATCTCTAGGGGCGCCTATCTCTATGGGCGCCTATCTCTATGGGCGCCTCTCTTTAGGGGTGCCAATCTCTAGAGGCGCCAATCTCTATGGGCGCCCATCTCTAGGGGCGCCTACCTCTAGGGGCACCTATCTCTAGGGGCGCCTATCTCCAGGGGCGCCTATCTCTAGGGGTGCCTATCTCTAGGGGTGCCTATCTCTAGGGGCGGCAATCTCTAGGGGCCCCTATCTTTATGGGTGCCTATCTCTAGGGGCGCCTATCTCTATGGGCGCCTATCTCTTTGGGCGCCTATCTCTATGGGCGCCTATCTCTAGGGGCGCCTATCTCTGGGGGCGCCTATCTCTATGGGCGCCTATCTCTATGGGTGCCTATCTCTATGGGCGCCTATCTCTATGGGCGCCTATCTCTAGGGGCGCCTATCTCTATGGGCGCCTATCTCTAGGGGCGCCTATCTCTAGTGGCGCCTATCTCTAGGAGCGCCTATCTCGATGGGCGCCTATCTCTAGGGGCGCCTATCTCTAGGGGCGCCTATCTCTAGGGGCGCCTATCTCTAGAGGCGCATATCTCTATGGGCGCCTATCTCTAGGGGCGCCTATCTCTATGGGCACCTATCTCTTTGGGCGCCTATCTCTATGAACGCCTATCTCTATGGGCGCCTATCTCTATGGGCGCCTATCTCGATGGGCGCCTATCTCTATGGGCGCCTATCTCTAGGGGCGCCTATCTCTATGGGCGCCTATCTTTATGGGCGCCTATCTCTAAGGGCGCCTATCTCTATGGGCGCCTATCTGTATGGGCGCCTATCTCTATGGGCGCCTATCTTTATGGGCGCCTATCTCTAGGGGCGCCTATCTCTAGGGGCGCCTATCTCTAGGGGCGCCTATCTCTATGGGCGCCTATCTCTATGGGCGCCTATCTCTATGGGCGCCTATCTCTAGGGGCGCCTATCTCTATGGGCGCCTATCTCTATGGGCGCCTATCTCTAGGGGCGCCTATCTCTATGGGCGCCTATCTCTATGGGCGCCTATCTCTATGGGCGCCTATCTCTATGGGCGCCTATCTCTTTGGCCGCCTATCTCTATGGGCGCCTATCTCTAGGGGCGCCTATCTCTATGGGCGCCTAACTCTAGGGGCGCCTATCTCTATGGGCGCCTATCTCTATGGGTGCCTATCTCTATGGGCGCCTATCTCTAGGGGCGCCTATCTCTAGGGGTGCCTATCTCTATGTGCGTCTATTTCTATGGGCGCCTCTCTTTAGGGGCGCCAATCTCTAGAGGCGCCTATCTCTTTGGGCGCCTATCTCTATGGGCGCCTATCTCTAGGGGCGCCTATCTCGAGGGGCGCCTATCTCTATGGGCGCCTATCTCTATGGGCGCCTATCTCTATGGGCGCCTATCTCAAGCGGCGCCTATCTCTAGGGGCGCCTATCTCTATGGGCGCCTATCTCTATGGGCGCCTCTCTTTAGGGGCGCCAATCTCTAGAGGCGCCAATCTCTATGGGCGCCCATCTCTAGGGGCGCCTACCTCTAGGGGCACCTATCTCTAGGGGCGCCTATCTCTAGGGGCGCCTATCTCTAGGGGTGCCTATCTCTAGGGGTGCCTATCTCTAGGGGCGGCAATCTCTAGGGGCCCCTATCTTTATGGGCGCCTATCTCTAGGGGCGCCTATCTCTATGGGCGCCTATCTCTTTGGGCGCCTATCTCTATGGGCGCCTATCTCTAGGGGCGCCTATCTCTGGGGGCGCCTATCTCTATGGGCGCCTATCTCTATGGGTGCCTATCTCTATGGGCGCCTATCTCGATGGGCGCCTATCTCTAGGGGCGCCTATCTCTATGGGCGCCTATCTCTAGGGGCGCCTATCTCTAGTGGCGCCTATCTCTAGGAGCGCCTATCTCGATGGGCGCCTATCTCTAGGGGCGCCTATCTCTAGGGGCGCCTATCTCTAGGGGCGCCTATCTCTAGAGGCGCATATCTCTATGGGCGCCTATCTCTAGGGGCGCATATCTCTATGGGCGCCTATCTCTTTGGGCGCCTATCTCTATGAACGCCTATCTCTATGGGCGCCTATCTCTATGGGCGCCTATCTCTATGGGCGCCTATCTCTAGGGGCACCTATCTCTAGGGGCGCTTATCTCTAGGGGCGCCTATCTCTATGGGCGCGAATCTCTATTGCGCGTATCTCTAGGGGTGCCTATCTCTATGGGCTCCTATCTCTAGGGGCGGCTATCTCTAGGGGCGCCTATCTCTAGCGGCGCCTACCTCTAGGGGCGCCTATCTCTAGGGTCGCCTATCTCTAGGTGCGCCTATCTCCAGGGGCGCCTATCTCTAGGGGCGCCTGTCTCTAGGGGCGCCTATCTCTATGGGCGCCTATCTCTATGGGCGCCTATCTCTATGGGCGCCTATCTCTATGGGCGCCTATCTCTTTGGCCGCCTATCTCTATGGGCGCCTATCTCTAGGGGCGCCTATCTCTATGGGCGCCTAACTCTAGGGGCGCCTATCTCTATGGGCGCTTATCTCTATGGGTGCCTATCTCTATGGGCGCCTATCTCTAGGGGCGCCTATCTCTAGGGGCGCCTATCTCTATGTGCGCCTATTTCTATGGGCGCCTCTCTTTAGGGGCGCCAATCTCTAGAGGCGCCTATCTCTTTGGGCGCCTATCTCTATGGGCGCCTATCTCTAGGGGCGCCTATCTCGAGGGGCGCCTATCTCTATGGGCGCCTATCTCTATGGGCGCCTATCTCTATGGGCGTCTATCTCAAGCGGCGCCTATCTCTAGGGGCGCCTATCTCTATGGGCGCCTATCTCTATGGGCGCCTCTCTTTAGGGGCGCCAATCTCTAGAGGCGCCAATCTCTATGGGCGCCCATCTCTAGGGGCGCCTACCTCTAGGGGCACCTATCTCTAGGGGCGCCTATCTCCAGGGGCGCCTATCTCTAGGGGTGCCTATCTCTAGGGGTGCCTATCTCTAGGGGCGGCAATCTCTAGGGGCCCCTATCTTTATGGGCGCCTATCTCTAGGGGCGCCTATCTCTATGGGCGCCTATCTCTTTGGGCGCCTATCTCTATGGGCGCCTATCTCTAGGGGCGCCTATCTCTGGGGGCGCCTATCTCTATGGGCGCCTATCTCTATGGGTGCCTATCTCTATGGGCGCCTATCTCTATGGGCGCCTATCTCTAGGGGCGCCTATCTCTATGGGCGCCTATCTCTAGGGGCGCCTATCTCTAGTGGCGCCTATCTCTAGGAGCGCCTATCTCGATGGGCGCCTATCTCTAGGGGCGCCTATCTCTAGGGGCGCCTATCTCTAGGGGTGCCTATCTCTAGAGGAGCATATCTCTATGGGCGCCTATCTCTAGGGGCGCATATCTCTATGGGCGCCTATCTCTTTGGGCGCCTATCTCTATGAACGCCTATCTCTATGGGCGCCTATCTCTATGGGCGCCTATCTCTATGGGCGCCTATCTCTAGGGGCACCTATCTCTAGGGGCGCTTATCTCTAGGGGCGCCTATCTCTATGGGCGCGAATCTCTATTGCGCGTATCTCTAGGGGTGCCTATCTCTATGGGCTCCTATCTCTAGGGGTGGCTATCTCTAGGGGCGCCTATCTCTAGCGGCGCCTACCTCTAGGGGCGCCTATCTCTAGGGTCGCCTATCTCTAGGCGCGCCTATCTCTAGGGGCGCCTATCTCTAGGGGCGCCTGTCTCTAGGGGCGCCTATCTCTATGGGCGCCTATCTCTAGGGGCGCCTATCTCTAGGGTCGCTTGCCTCTATGGACGCCTATCTCTCGGGGCGCCTCTCTAGGGGCGCCCATCTCTAGGGGCGCCTATCCCTAGGGGCGCCTATCTCTAGGGGCGCCTATCTCTAGGGGTGCCTGTCTCTAGGGGCGCCTATCTCTAGGGGCGCCTATCTCTATGGGCGCCTATCTCTATGGGCGCCTATCTCTAGGGGCGCCTGTCTATATGTGCGCCTATCTCTAGGGGCGCCTATCTCTAGGGGCGCCTATCTCTAGGGGTGCCTATCTCTATGGGCGCCTATCTCTATGGGCGCCTATCTCTATGGGCGCCTATCTCTATGGGCACCTCTCTTTAGGGGCGCCAAACTCTAGAGGCGCCTATCTCTATGAGCGCCCCTCTTTACGTGCGCCTATCTCTAGGGGCACCTATCTCTATGAGCACCTATCTCCAGGGGCGCCTATCTCTAGGGGCGCCTATCTCTATGGGCTCCTATCCCTAAGGGCGCCTATCTCTATGGGCGCCTATCTCTATGGGCGCCTATCTCTATGGGCGCCTATCTCTAGGGGCGCCTATCTCTAGGGGCGCCTATCTCTATGGGCGCCTACCTCTATGGGCACCTATCTCTAGAGGCGCCTATCTATAGGGGCGCCTATCTCTAGGGGACCCTATCTCTAGGGGCGACTATCTCTAGGGGCGCCTATCTCTATGGGCACCTATCTCTATGGGCGCCTATCTCTATGGGCGCCTATCTCTATGGGCACCTACCTCTATGGGCGCCTATCTCTAGAGGCGCCTATCTATAGGGGCGCCTATCTCTCGGGGCCCCTATCTCTAGGGGCGACTATCTCTAGGGGCACCAATCTCTATGGGCGCCTATCTCTAGGGGCGCCTATCTCTATGGGCGTCTATCTCTAGAGGCGCCTATCTCTATGGGCGCCTATCTCTAGGGGCGCCTGTCTCTAGGGGCGCCTATCTCTAAGGGCGCCTATCTCTATGGGCGCCTATCTCTAGGGGCGCCTATCTCTATGGGCGCCTATCTCTATGGGCGCCTCGCGCCTATCTCTAGAGGCGCCTATCTCTATGGGCGCCCATCTCTAGGGGCGCCTATCTCTGAGGGCACCTATCTCTAGGTGCGCCTATCTCTATGGGCGCCTATCTCTAGGGGCGCCTTTCTCTGGGGGCGCCTATCTCTAGGGGCGCCTATCTCTATGGGCTCCTATCTCTAAGGGCGCCTATCTCTATGGGCGCCTATCTCTATGGGCAACTATCTCTAGGGGCGCATATCTCTAAGGGCGCCTATCTCTATGGGTGACTATCTCTAGGGGCGACTATCTCTAGGGGCCCCTATCTCTAAGGGGGCCTATCTCTCGGGGCGCCTATCTCTCGGGGCGCCTATCTCTAGGGGCACCTATCTCTAGGGGCGCCTGTCTCTAGGGGCGCCTATCTCTATGGGCGCCTATCTCTAGGGGCGCCTGTCTATATGTGCGCCTATCTCTAGGGGCGCCTATCTCTAGGGGCGCCTATCTCTAGGGGCGCCTATCTCTATGGGCGCCTATCTCTATGGGCGCCTATCTCTATGGGCGCCTATCTCTATGGGCACCTCTCTTTAGGGGCGCCAAACTCTAGAGGCGCCTATCTCTATGAGCGCCCCTCTTTACGGGCGCCTATCTCTAGGGGCACCTATCTCTAGGGGCGCCTATCTCCAGGGGCGCCTATCTCTAGGGGCGCCTATCTCTATGGGCTCCTATCCCTAAGGGCGCCTATCTCTATGGGCGCCTATCTCTATGGGCGCCTATCTCTAGGGGCGCCTGTCTCTAGGGGCGCCTATCTCTATGGGCGCCTATCTCTATGGGCGCCTATCTCTAGGGGCGCCTATCTCTAGGGGCGCCTATCTCTATGGGCGCCTGTCTCTAGGGGCGCCTATCTCTATGGGCGCCTATCTCTATGGGCGCCTATCTCTAGGGGCGCCTGTCTATATGTGCGCCTATCTCTAGGGCCGCCTATCTCTAGGGGCGCCTATCTCTAGGGGCGCCTATCTCTATGGGCGCCTATCTCTATGGGCGCCTATCTCTATGGGCACCTCTCTTTAGGGGCGCCAATCTCTAGAGGCGCCTATCTCTATGAGCGCCCCTCTTTACGGGCGCCTATCTCTAGGGGCACCTATCTCTAGGGGTGCCTATCTCCAGGGGCGCCTATCTCTAGGGGCGCCATTTCTATGGGCTCCTATCCCTAAGGGCGCCTATCTCTATGGGCGCCTATCTCTAGGGGCGCCTATCTCTAGGGGCGCCTATCTCTATGGGCGCCTACCTCTATGGGCGCCTATCTCTAGAGGCGCCTATCTATAGGGGCGCCTATCTCTAGGGGGCCCTATCTCTAGGGGCGACTATCTCTAGGGGCGTCTATCTCTATAGGCACCTATCTCTATGGGCGCCTATCTCTATGGGCGCCTACCTCTATGGGCGCCTATCTCTAGAGGCGCCTATCTATAGGGGCGCCTATCTCTAGGGGCCCCTATCTCTAGGGGCGACTATCTCTAGGGGCGCCTATCTCTATGGGCGCCTATCTCTAGGGGCGCCTATCTCTATGGGCGTCTATCTCTAGAGGCGCCTTTCTCTATGGGCGCCTATCTCTAGGGGCGCCTGTCTCTAGGGGCGCCTATCTCTATGGGCGCCTATCTCTATGGGCGCCTATCTCTAGGGGCGCCTATCTCTATGGGCGCCTATCTCTATGGGCGCCTCGCGCCTATCTCTAGAGGCGCCTATCTCTATGGGCGCCCATCTCTAGGGGCGCCTATCTCTGAGGGCACCTATCTCTAGGTGCGCCTATCTCTATGGGCGCCTATCTCTAGGGGCGCCTTTCTCTAGGGGCGCCAGTCTCTAGGGGGGCCTATCTCTAGGGGCGCCTATCTCTAGGGGCGCCTATCTCTATGGGCTCCTATCTCTAAGGGCGCCTATCTCTATGGGCGCCTATCTCTATGGGCAACTATCTCTAGGGGCGCCTATCTCTATGGGTGACTATCTCTAGGGGCGACTATCTCTACGGGCCCCTATCTCTAGGGGCACCTATCTCTAGGGGCGCCTGTCTCTAGGGGCGCCTATCTCTATGGGCACCTATCTCTATGGGCGCCTATCTCTAGGGGCGCCTATCTCTAGGGGCGCCTATCTCTATGGGCGCCTATCTCTATGGGTGCCTCGCGGCTATCTCTAGAGGCGCCTATCTCTATGGACACCCATCTCTAGGGACGCCGATCTCTGAGGGCGCCTATCTCTAGGGGCGCCTATCTCTATGAGCGCCTATCTCTAGGGGCGCCTTTCTCTAGGGGCGCCTATCTCTAGGGGGGCCTATCTCTAGGGGCGCCTATCTCTAGGGGCGCCTATCTCTATGGGCTCTTATCTCTAAGGGCACCTATCTCTATGGGCGCCTATCTCTATGGGCGCCTATCTCTAGGGGCGCCTATCTCTAGGGGCACCTATCTCTAGGGGCGCCTATCTCTAGGGGCGCCTATCTCTAGGGGCGCCTATCTCTGAGGGCGCCTATCTCTAGGGGCGCCTATCTCTATGGGCGCCTATCTCTATGGGCGCCTATCCCTAGGGGCGCCTATCTCTATGGGCGCCTATCTCTATGGGCGCCTATCTCTAGGGGCGCCTATCTCTAGGGGCGCCTATCTTTATGGGTGCCTCTCGGCTATCTCTAGAGGCGCCTATTTCTATGGACACCCATCTCTAGGGACGCCGATCTCTGAGGGCGCCTATCTCTAGGGGCGCCTATCTCTATGGGCGCCTATCTCTAGGGGCGCCTTTCTCTAGGGGCGCCTATCTCTAGGGGGGCCTATCTCTAGGGGCGCCTATCTCTAGGGGCGCCTATCTCTATGGGCTCTTATCTCTAAGGGCGCCTATCTCTATGGGCACCTATCTCTATGGGCGCCTATCTCTAGGGGCGCCTATCTCTAGGGGCGCCTATCTCTAGGGGCGCCTATCTCTAGGGGCGCCTATCTCTAGGGGCGCCTATCTCTGAGGGCGCCTATCTCTAGGGGCGCCTATCTCTATGGGCGCCTATCTCTGTGGGCACCTATCTCTAGGGGCGCCTATCTCTATAGGCGCCTATCTCTATGGGCGCCTATCTCTAGGGGCGCCTATCTCTATGGGCGCCTATCTCTAGGGGTGCCTATCTCTAGGGGCGCCTTTCTCTAGGGGCGCCTATCTCTAGGGGCGCCTATCTCTATGCGCGCCTATCTCTAGGGGTGCCTATCTCTAGGGGCGCCTATCTCCAGCGGCGCCTATCTCTAGGGGCGCCTATCTCTATGGGCGCCTATCTCTATGGGTGCCTCGCGCCTTTCTCTAGAGGCGCCTATCTCTATGGGCACCCATCCCTAGGGACGCCGATCTCTGAGGGCGCCTATCTCTAGGGGCGCCTATCTCTAGGGGGGCCTAACTCTAGGGGCGCCTATCTCTAGGGGCGCCTATCTCTATGGGCTCTTATCTCTATGGGCGCCTATCTCTATGGGCGCCTATCTCTATGGGCGCCTATCTCTAGGGGCGCCTATCTCTAGGGGCGCCTATCACTAGGGGCGCCTATCTTTAGAGGCGCCTATCTCTAGGGGCGCCTATCTCTAGGGGCGCCTATCTCTGAGGGCGCCTATCTCTGAGGGCGCCTATCTCTAGGGGCGCCTATCTCTATGGGCGTCTATCTCTAGGGGCGCCTCCCTCTAGGGGCGCCTATCTCTTAGGGCGCCTATCTCTAGGGGCGCCTATTTCTATGGGCGCCTATCTCTATGGGCGCCTATCTCTAGGGGCGCCTATCTCTAGGGGCGCCTATCTCTATGGGCTCCTATCCCTAAGGGTGCCTATCTCTATGGGCGCCTATCTCTATGGGCGCCTAACTCTAGGGGCGCCTATCTTTAGGGGCGCCTATCTCTATGGACGCCTATCTCTATGGGCGCCTATCTCTAGAGGCGCCTATCTCTAGGGACCCCTATCTCTAGGGGCGCCTATCTGTATGGGCGCCAATCTCTATGGGCGCCTCGCGCCTATCTATAGAGGCGCCTATCTCTATGGGCGCCCATCTCTAGGGGCGTCTATCTCTGAGGGCGACTATCTCTAGGGGCGCCTATCTCTATGGGCGCCTATCTCTAGGGGCGCCTTTCTCTAGGGGCGCCTATCTCTAGGGGGGCCTATCTCTAGGGGCGCCTATCTCTAGGGGCGCCTATCTCTATGGGCTCTTATCTCTAAGGGCGCCTATCTCTATGGGCACCTATCTCTATGGGCGCCTATCTCTAGGGGCGCCTATCTCTAGGGGCGCCTATCTCTAGGGGCGCCTATCTCTAGGGGCGCCTATCTCTAGGGGCGCCTATCTCTGAGGGCGCCTATCTCTAGGGGCGCCTATCTCTATGGGCGCCTATCTCTGTGGGCACCTATCTCTAGGGGCGCCTATCTCTATGGGCGCCTATCTCTATGGGCGCCTATCTCTAGGGGCGCCTATCTCTATGGGCGCCTATCTCTAGGGGTGCCTATCTCTAGGGGCGCCTTTCTCTAGGGGCGCCTATCTCTAGGGGCGCCTATCTCTATGCGCGCCTATCTCTAGGGGTGCCTATCTCTAGGGGCGCCTATCTCCAGCGGTGCCTATCTCTAGGGGCGCCTATCTCTATGGGCGCCTATCTCTATGGGTGCCTCGCGCCTTTCTCTAGAGGCGCCTATCTCTATGGGCACCCATCCCTAGGGACGCCGATCTCTGAGGGCGCCTATCTCTAGGGGCGCCTATCTCTATGCGCGCCTATCTCTAGGGGTGCCTATCTCTAGGGGCGCCTATCTCCAGGGGCGCCTATCTCTAGGGGCGCCTATCTCTATGGGCGCCTATCTCTATGGGTGCCTCGCGCCTTTCTCTAGAGGCGCCTATCTCTATGGGCACCCATCCCTAGGGACGCCGATCTCTGAGGGCGCCTATCGCTAGGGGCGCCTATCTCTATGGGCGCCTATCTCAAGGGGCGCCTATCTCTAGGGGCGCCTATCTCTAGGGGGGCCTAACTCTAGGGGCGCCTATCTCTAGGGGCGCCTATCTCTATGGGCTCTTATCTCTATGGGCGCCTATCTCTATGGGCGCCTATCTCTATGGGCGCCTATCTCTAGGGGCGCCTATCTCTAGGGGCGCCTATCACTAGGGGCGCCTATCTTTAGAGGCGCCTATCTCTAGGGGCGCCTATCTCTAGGGGCGCCTATCTCTGAGGGCGCCTATCTCTGAGGGCGCCTATCTCTAGGGGCGCCTATCTCTATGGGCGTCTATCTCTAGGGGCGCCTCCCTCTATGGGCGCCTATCTCTTAGGGCGCCTATCTCTAGGGGCGCCTATTTCTATGGGCGCCTATCTCTATGGGCGCCTATCTCTAGGGGCGCCTATCTCTAGGGGCGCCTATCTCTATGGGCTCCTATCCCTAAGGGTGCCTATCTCTATGGGCGCCTATCTCTATGGGCGCCTAACTCTAGGGGCGCCTATCTTTAGGGGCGCCTATCTCTATGGACGCCTATCTCTATGGGCGCCTATCTCTAGAGGCGCCTATCTCTAGGGACCCCTATCTCTAGGGGCGCCTATCTGTATGGGCGCCAATCTCTATGGGCGCCTCGCGCCTATCTATAGAGGCGCCTATCTCTATGGGCGCCCATCTCTAGGGGCGTCTATCTCTGAGGGCGACTATCTCTAGGGGCGCCTATCTCTATGGGCGCCTATCTCTAGGGGCGCCTTTCTCTAGGGACGCCTATCTCTTGGGGGGCCTATCTCTATGGGCGCCTATCTCTAGGGGCGCCTTTCTCTAGGGGCGCCTATCTATAGGGGCTCCTATCTCTAGGGGCTCCTATCTCTAAGGGCGCCTATCTCTATGGGCGCCTATCTCTATGGGCGCCTATCTCTAGGGGTGCCTATCTCTAGGGGCGCCTATCTCTAGGGGCGCCTATCTCTAGGGGCGCCTATCTCTAGGGGCGCCTATCTCTATGCGCGCCTATCTCTAGGGGCGCCTATCTCTAGGGGGCGCCTATATCTGTGGGCGCTTATCTCTATGGGTGCCTATCTCTGGGGGCGCTTATCTGTATGGGCGCCTATCTCTATGGGCGCCTATCTCTAGGGGCACGTATCTCTAGGGGCGTCTATCCCCAAGGGCGCCTATCTCTAGGGGCGCCTATCTTTAGGGGTGCCTATCTCTAGGGGCGGCTATCTCTAGGGGCGCCTATCTCTATGGGCGCCTATCTCTAGGGGCGCCTATCTCTATGGGCGCCTATCTCTTTGGGCGCCTATCTCTATGGGCGCCTATCTCTATGGGCGCCTATCTCTAGGGGCGCCTATCTTTATGGGCGCCTATCTCTATGGGCGCCTATCTCTAGGGGCGCCTATCTCTATGGGCGCCTATCTTTAGCGGCGCCTATCTCTATAGGCGCCTATCTCTAGGGGCGCCAATCTCTAGGGGCGCCTATCTCTATGTGCGCCTATCTCTATGGGCACCTGTCTCTAGGGGCTCCTATCTCTAAGGGCGCCTATCTGTATGGGCGCCTATCTCTATGGGCGCCTATCTCTAGGGGCACGTATCTCTAGGGGCGTCTATCCCCAAGGGCGTCTATCTCTAGGGGCGCCTATCTTTAGGGGTGCCTATCTCTAGGGGCGGCTAACTCTAGGGGCGCCTATCTCTATGGGCGCCTATCTCTAGGGGCGCCTATCTCTATGGGCGCCTATCTCTTTTGGCGCCTATCTCTATGGGCGCCTATCTCTAGGGGCGCCTATCTCTAGGGGCGCCTATCTCTATGGGCGCCTATCTCTATGGGCGCCTATCTCTAGGGGCGCCTATCTCTAGGGGCGCCTATCTTTAGCGGCGCCTATCTCTATAGGCGCCTATCTCTAGGGGCGCCAATCTCTAGGGGCGCCTATCTCTATGTGCGCCTATCTCTATGGGCGCCTGTCTATAGGGGCTCCTATCTCTAAGGGCGCCTATCTCTATGGGCGCCTATCTCTATGGGCGCCTATCTCTAGGGGCGCCTATCTCTATGGGCGCCTATCTCTATGGGCGCCTATCTCTAGGGGCGCCTATCTCTACGGGCGCCTATCTCTAGCGGCGCCTATCTCTATGGACGCCTATCTCTAGGGGCGCCTATCTCTAGGGGCGCCTAACTCTAGGGGCACGTATCTCAAGGGGCGTCTATCCCCAGGGGCGCCTATCTCTAGGGGCGCCTATATCTAGGGGTGCCTATCTCTAGGGGCGGCTATCTCTAGGAGCGCCTATCAATAAGAGCGCCTATCTCTATGGGTGCCTTTCTTTATGGGCGCCTATCTCTAGGGGCGCCTATCTCTTGGGACGCCTATCTCTAGGGGCGCCTATCTCTAGGGGCGCCTATCTCTAGGGCCGCCTATCTCTAGGGGCGCCTAACTCTGAGGGCGCCTATCTCTAGAGGCGCCTATCTCTATGGGCGCCTATCTCTATGGGCGCCTATCTCTATGGGCGCCTATCCCTAAGGGCGCCTATCTCTATGGGCGCCTATCTTTATGGGCGCCTATCTCTATGGGCGCCTATCTCTAGGGGCGCCTATCTCTATGGGCTCCTATCCCTAAGGGCGCCTATATCTATGGGCGCCTATCTCTATGGGCGCCTATCTCTAGGGGCGCCTATCTCTAGGAGCGCCTATCTCTATTGGCGCCTACCTCTATGGGCGCCTATCTCTATGGGCGCCTATCTCTATGTGCTCCTATCCCTAAGGGCGCCTATCTCTATGGGCGCCTATCTCTATGGGCGCCTATCTCTAGGGGCGCCTATCTCTAGGGGCGCCTATCTCTATGGGCTCCTACCCCTAAGGGGGCCTATATCTATGGGCGCCTATCTCTATGGGCGCCTATCTCTAGGGGCGCCTATCTCTAGGGGCGCCTATCTCTATGGGCGCCTACCTCTATGGGCGCCTATCTCTAGAGGCGCCTATCTATAGGGGCGCCTATCTCTAGGGGCGCCTATTTCTAGGGGCGCCTATCTCTATGGGTGCCTATCTCTATGGGCGCCTCTCGCCTATCTATAGAGGCGCCTATCTCTATGGGCGCCCATCTCTAGGGGCGCCTATCTCTGAGGGCGACTATCTCTAGGGGCGCCTATCTCTAGGGGCGCCTTTCTCTAGGGGCGCCTATCTCTAGGGGTGCCTATCTATAGGGGCGCCTATCTCTAGGGGCGCCTATCTCTAGGGGCTCCTATCTCTAGGGGCGCCTATCTCTATGGGCGCCAATCTCTAGAGGCGCCTATCTCTATGGGCGCCCATCTCTAGGGGCGCTTACCTCTAGGGGCACCTATCTCTAGGGGCGCCTATCTCCAGGGGCGCCTATCTCTAGGGGCGCCTATCTCTAGGGGTGCCTATCTCTAGGGGGGCTATCTCTAAGGGCACCTATCTCTATGGGCGCCTATCTCTAGGGGCGCCTATCTCTATGGGCGCCTATCTCTTTGGGTGCCTATCTCTATGGGCGCCTATCTCTAGGGGAGCCTATCTCTAGGGGCGCCTATCTCTATGGGCGCCTATCTCTATGGGCGCCTATCTCCATGGGCGCCTATCTCTATGGGCGCCTATCTCTAGGGGCGCCTATCTCTAGTGGCGCCTATCTCTAGGGTTGCCTATCTCTAGGAGCGCCTATCTCTAGGGGCGCATATCTCTATGGGCGCCAATCTCTAGGGGCACCTATCTCTATGGGCGCCTATCTCTATGGGCGCCTATCTCTATGGGCGCCTATCTCTAGGGGCGCCTATCTCTAGGGGCGCCTATCTCTATGGGCGCCTATCTCTATGGGCGCCTATCCCTATGGGCGCCTATCTCTATGGGCGCCTATCTCTATGGGCGCCTATCTCTAGGGGCGCCTATCTCTATGGGCGCCAATCTCTAGGGGCACCTATCTCTATGGGCGCCTATCTCTATGGGCGCCTATCTCTATGGGTGCCTATCTCTAGGGGCGCCTATCTCTAGGGGCGCCTATCTCTATGGGCGTCTATCTCTATGGGCGCCTATCTCTATGGGCGCCTATCTCTATGGGCGCCTATCTCTAGGGGTGCCTATCTCTATGTGCGCCTATCTCTAGGGGCGCCTATCTCTAGTGGAGCCTATCTCTAGGGGCGCCTATCTCTATGGGCGCCTATATCTAGGGGCGCCTATCTCTATGGGCGCCTATCTCTAGGAGCGCCTATCTTTAGGGGCGCATATCTCTATGGGCGCCAATCTCTAAGGGCACCTATCTCTATGGGCGCCTATCTCTATGGGCGCCTATCTCTAGGGGCGGCTATCTCTATGGGCGTCTATCTCAAGGGGTGCCTATCGCTATGGGCGCCTATCTCTATGGGCGCCTATCTCTATGGGCGCCTATCTCTATGGGCACCTCTCTTTAGGGGCGCCAAACTCTAGAGGCGCCTATCTCTATGAGCGCCCCTCTTTACAGGCGCCTATCTCTAGGGGCACCTATCTCTAGGGGCGCCTATCTCCATGGGCGCCTATCTCTAGGGGTGCCTATCTCTATGGGCTCCTATCCCTAAGGGCGCCTATCTCTATGGGCGCCTATCTCTATGGGCGCCTATCTCTATGGGCGCCTATCTCTAGGGGCGCCTATCTCTATGGGCGCCTACCTCTATGGGCGCCTATCTCTAGAGGCGCCAATCTTAAGGGGCGCCTATCTCTAGGGGGCCCTATCTCTAGGGGCGCCTATCTCTAGGGGCGCCTATCTCTATGGGCGCCTATCTCTATGGGCGCCTATCTCTATGGGCGCCTACCTCTACGGGCGCCTATCTCTAGAGGCGCCTATCTATAGGGGCGCCTATCTCTAGGGGCCCCTATCTCTAGGGGCGACTATCTCTAGGGGCGCCTATCTCTATGGGCGCATATCTCTAGGGGCGCCTATCTCTATGGGCGTCTATCTCTAGAGGCGCCTATCTGTATGGGCGCCTATCTCTAGGGGCGCCTGTCTCTAGGGGCGCCTATCTCTATGGGCGCCTATCTCTATGGGCGCCTATCTCTAGGGGCGCCTATCTCTATGGGCGCCAATCTCTATGGGCGCCTCGCGCCTATCTCTAGAGGCGCCTATCTCTATGGGCGCCCATCTCTAGGGGCGCCTATCTCTATGGGCGCCTATCTCTAGGGGCGCCTTTCCCTGGGGGCGCCTGTATCTAGGGGGGCCTATCTCTATGGGCGCCTATCTCTAGGGGCGCCTATCTCTATGGGCTCCTATCTCTAAGGGCGCCTATCTCTATGGGCGCCAATCTCTAGGGGCACCTATCTCTATGGGCGCCTATCTCTATGGGCGCCTATCTCTATGGGCGCCTATCTCTAGGGGCACCTATCTCTAGGGGCGCCTATCTCTATGGGCGCCTATCTCTATGGGCGCCTATCCCTATGGGCGCCTATCTCTATGGGCGCCTATCTCTATGGGCGCCTATCTCTATGGGTGCCTATCTCTAGGGGCGCCTATCTCTAGGGGCGCCTATCTCTATGGGCGTCTATCTCTATGGGCGCCTATCTCTATGGGCGCCTATCTCTATGGGCGCCTATCTCTATGGGCGCCTATCTCTATGGGCGCCTATCTCTATGGGCGCCTATCTCTATGGGCGCCTATCTCTATGGGCGCCTATCTTTATGGGCGCCTATCTCTAGGGGCGCCTATCTCTAGTGGCGCCTATCTCTATGGGCGCCTATCTCTATGGGCGCCTATCTCTAGGGGCGCCTATCTCTATGGGCGCCTATCTCTAGAAGCGCCTATCTCTATGGGCGCCTATCTCTAGGAGCGCCTATCTCTAAGGGCGCCTATCTCTATGGGCACCTATCTCTATGGGCGCCTATCTCTATGGGCGCCTATCTCTATGGGTGCCTATCTCTATGGGTGCCTATCTCTATGGGCGCATATCTCTATGGGCGCCTATCTCTATGGGCGCCTATCTCTATGGGCGCCTATCTCTATGGGCGCCTATCTCTATGGGCGCCTATCTCTATGGGCGCCTATCTCTAGGGGTGCCTATCTCTATGTGCGCCTATCTCTAGGGGCGCCTATCTCTAGTGGCGCCTATCTCTAGGGGCGCCTATCTCTATGGGCGCCTATCTCTAGGGGCGCCTATCTCTATGGGCGCCTATCTCTAGGAGCGCCTATCTTTAGGGGCGCATATCTCTATGGGCGCCTATTTCTAGGGGCGGCTATCTCTATGGGTGTCTATCTCAAGGGGCGCCTATCTCTAGGGGTGCCTATCTCTATGGGCGCCTATCTCTATGGGCGCCTATCTCTATGGGCGCCTATCTCTATGGGCACCTCTCTTTAGGGGCGCCAAACTCTAGAGGCGCCTATCTTTATGAGCGCCCCTCTTTACGGGCGCCTATCTCTAGGGGCACCTATCTCTAGGGGCGCCTATCTCCATGGGCGCCTATCTCTAGGGGCGGCTATCTCTATGGGCTCCTATCCCTAAGGGCGCCTATCTCTATGGGCGCCTATCTCTATGGGCGCCTATCTCTATGGGCGCCTATCTCTAGGGGCGCCTATCTCTATGGGCGCCTACCTCTATGGGCGCCTATATCTAGAGGCGCCAATCTATAGGGGCGCCTATCTCTAGGGGGCCCTATCTCTAGGGGCGCCTATCTCTAGGGGCGCCTATCTCTATGGGCGCCTATCTCTATGGGCGCCTATCTCTATGGGCGCCTACCTCTACGGGCGCCTATCTCTAGAGGCGCCTATCTATAGGGGCGCCTATCTCTAGGGGCCCCTATCTCTAGGGGCGACTATCTCTAGGGGCGCCTATCTCTATGGGCGCATATCTCTAGGGGCGCCTATCTCTATGGGCGTCTATCTCTAGAGGCGCCTATCTCTATGGGCGCCTATCTCTAGGGGCGCCTGTCTCTAGGGGCGCCTATCTCTATGGGCGCCTATCTCTATGGGCGCCTATCTCTATGAGCGCCTATCTCTATGGGCGCCTATCTCTAGGGGCGCCTATCTCTATGGGCGCCTATCTCTAGGGGCGCCTATCTCTATGGGCGCCTACCTCTATGGGCGCCTATATCTAGAGGCGCCAATCTATAGGGGCGCCTATCTCTAGAGGGCCCTATCTCTAGGGGCGCCTATCTCTAGGGGCGCCTATCTCTATGGGTGCCTATCGCTATGGGCGCCTATCTCTATGGGCGCCTATCTCTATGGGCGCCTATCTCTATGGGCACCTCTCTTTAATAACCCCAAACTCTAGAGGCGCCTATCTCTATGAGCGCCCCTCTTTACAGGCGCCTATCTCTAGGGGCACCTATCTCTAGGGGCGCCTATCTCCATGGGCGCCTATCTCTAGGGGTGCCTATCTCTATGGGCTCCTATCCCTAAGGGGGCCTATCTCTATGGGCGCCTATCTCTATGGGCGCCTATCTCTATGGGCGCCTATCTCTAGGGGCGCCTATCTCTATGGGCGCCTACCTCTATGGGCGCCTATCTCTAGAGGCGCCAATCTATAGGGGCGCCTATCTCTAGGGGGCCCTATCTCTAGGGGCGCCTATCTCTAGGGGCGCCTATCTCTATGGGCGCCTATCTCTATGGGCGCCTATCTCTATGGGCGCCTACCTCTACGGGCGCCTATCTCTAGAGGCGCCTATCTATAGGGGCGCCTATCTCTAGGGGCCCCTATCTCTAGGGGCGACTATCTCTAGGGGCGCCTATCTCTATGGGCGCATATCTCTAGGGGCGCCTATCTCTATGGGCGTCTATCTCTAGAGGCGCCTATCTCTATGGGCGCCTATCTCTAGGGGCGCCTGTCTCTAGGGGCGCCTATCTCTATGGGTGCCTATCTCTATGGGCGCCTATCTCTAGGGGCGCCTATCTCTATGGGCGCCAATCTCTATGGGCGCCTCGCGCCTATCTCTAGAGGCGCCTATCTCTATGGGCGCCCATCTCTAGGGGCGCCTATCTCTATGGGCGCCTATCTCTAGGGGCGCCTTTCCCTGGGGGCGCCTGTATCTAGGGGGGCCTATCTCTATGGGCGCCTATCTCTAGGGGCGCCTATCTCTATGGGCTCCTATCTCTAAGGGCGAATATCTCTATGGGCGCCAATCTCTAGGGGCACCTATCTCTATGGGCGCCTATCTCTATGGGCGCCTATCTCTATGGGCGCCTATCTCTAGGGGCACCTATCTCTAGGGGCGCCTATCTCTATGGGCGCCTATCTCTATGGGTGCCTATCCCTATGGGCGCCTATCTCTATGGGCGCCTATCTCTATGGGCGCCTATCTCTAGGGGCGCCTATCTCTATGGGCGCCAATCTCTAGGGGCACCTATCTCTATGGGCGCCTATCTCTATGGGCGCCTATCTCTATGGGTGCCTATCTCTAGGGGCGCCTATCTCTAGGGGCGCCTATCTCTATGGGCGTCTATCTCTATGGGCGCCTATCTCTATGGGCGCCTATCTCTATGGGCGCCTATCTCTATGGGCGCCTATCTCTATGGGCGCCTATCTCTATGGGCGCCTATCTCTATGGGCGCCTATCTCTATGGGCGCCTATCTCTATGGGCGCCTATCTCTAGGGGCGCCTATCTCTAGTGGCGCCTATCTCTATGGGCGCCTATCTCTATGGGCGCCTATCTCTAGGGGCGCCTATCTCTATGGGCGCCTATCTCTAGAAGCGCCTATCTCTATGGGCGCCTATCTCTAGGAGCGCCTATATCTAAGGGCGCCTATCTCTATGGGCACCTATCTCTATGGGCGCCTATCTCTATGGGCGCCTATCTCTATGGGTGCCTATCTCTATGGGCGCCTATCTCTATGGGCGCATATCTCTATGGGCGCCTATCTCTATGGGCGCCTATCTCTATGGGCGCCTATCTCTATGGGCGCCTATCTCTATGGGCGCCTATCTCTATGGGCGCCTATCTCTAGGGGTGCCTATCTCTATGTGCGCCTATCTCTAGGGGCGCCTATCTCTAGTGGCGCCTATCTCTAGGGGCGCCTATCTCTATGGGCGCCTATCTCTAGGGGCGCCTATCTCTATGGGCGCCTATCTCTAGGAGCGCCTATCTTTAGGGGCGCATATCTCTATGGGCGCCTATTTCTAGGGGCGGCTATCTCTATGGGCGTCTATCTCAAGGGGCGCCTATCTCTAGGGGTGCCTATCTCTATGGGCGCCTATCTCTATGGGCGCCTATCTCTATGGGCGCCTATCTCTATGGGCACCTCTCTTTAGGGGCGCCAAACTCTAGAGGCGCCTATCTCTATGAGCGCCCCTCTTTACGGGCGCCTATCTCTAGGGGCACCTATCTCTAGGGGCGCCTATCTCCATGGGCGCCTATCTCTAGGGGCGGCTATCTCTATGGGCTCCTATCCCTAAGGGCGCCTATCTCTATGGGCGCCTATCTCTATGGGCGCCTATCTCTATGGGCGCCTATCTCTAGGGGCGCCTATCTCTATGGGCGCCTACCTCTATGGGCGCCTATATCTAGAGGCGCCAATCTATAGGGGCGCCTATCTCTAGGGGGCCCTATCTCTAGGGGCGCCTATTTCTAGGGGCGCCTATCTCTATGGGCGCCTATCTCTATGGGCGCCTATCTCTATGGGCGCCTACCTCTACGGGCGCCTATCTCTAGAGGCGCCTATCTATAGGGGCGCCTATCTCTAGGGGCCCCTATCTCTAGGGGCGACTATCTCTAGGGGCGCCTATCTCTATGGGCGCATATCTCTAGGGGCGCCTATCTCTATGGGCGTCTATCTCTAGAGGCGCCTATCTCTATGGGCGCCTATCTCTAGGGGCGCCTGTCTCTAGGGGCGCCTATCTCTATGGGCGCCTATCTCTATGGGCGCCTATCTCTAGGGGCGCCTATCTCTATGGGCGCCTATCTCTAGGGGCGCCTATCTCTATGGGCGCCTATCTCAAGGGGCGCCTATCTCTATGGGCGCCTACCTCTATGGGCGCCTATATCTAGAGGCGCCAATCTATAGGGGCGCCTATCTCTAGGGGGCCCTATCTCTAGGGGCGCCTATCTCTAGGGGCGCCTATCTCTATGGGCGCCTATCTCTATGGGCGCCTATCTCTATGGGCGCCTACCTCTACGGGCGCCTATCTCTAGAGGCGCCTATCTATAGGGGCGCCTATCTCTAGGGGCGACTATCTCTAGGGGCGCCTATCTCTATGGGCGCATATCTCTAGGGGCGCCTATCTCTATGGGCGTCTATCTCTAGAGGCGCCTATCTCTATGGGCGCCTATCTCTAGGGGCGCCTGTCTCTAGGGGCGCCTATCTCTATGGGCGCCTATCTCTATGGGCGCCTATCTCTCGGGGCGCCTATCTCTAGGGGCACCTATCTCTAGGGGCGCCTGTCTCTAGGGGCGCCTATCTCTATGGGCGCCTATCTCTATTGGCGCCTATCTCTAGGGGCGCCTATCTCTAGGGGCGCCTATCTCTATGGGCACCTATCTCTATGGGTGCCTCGCGCCTATCTCTAGAGGCGCCTATCTCTATGGACACCCATCTCTAGGGACGCCGATCTCTGAGGGCGCCTATCTCTAGGGGCGCCTATCTCTAGGGTCGCTTGCCTCTATGGACGCCTATCTCTAGGGGCGCCTCTCTAGGGGCGCCTATCTCTAGGGGCTCCTATCCCTATGGGCGCCTATCTCTAGGGGCGCCTATCTCTAGGGGCGCCTATCTCTACGGGCGCCTGTCTCTAGGGGCGCCTATCTCTATGGGCGCCTATCTCTATGGGCGCCTATCTCTAGGGGCGCTTGTCTATATGTGCGCCTATCTCTAGGGGCGCTTATCTCTAGGGGCGCCTAGCTCTAGGGGCGCCTATCTCTATGGGCGCCTATCTCTATGGGCGCCTATCTCTATGGGCACCTCTCTTTAGGGGCGCCAATCTCTAGAGGCGCCTATCTCTATGAGCGCCCCTCTTTACGGGCGCGTATCTCTAGGGGCACCTATCTCTAGGGGCGCCTATCTCCAGGGGCGCCTATCTCTAGGGGCGCCATCTCTATGGGCTCCTTTCCGTAAGGGCGCCTATCTCTATGGGCGCCTATCTCTATGGGCGCCTATCTCTAGGGGCGCCTATCTCTAGGGGCGCCTATCTCTATGGGCGCCTACCTCTATGGGCGCCTATCTCTAGAGGCGCCTATCTATAGGGGCGCCTATCTCTAGGGGGCCCTAACTCTAGGGGCGACTATCTCTAGGGGCGCCTATCTCTATGGGCACCTATCTCTATGGGCGCCTATCTCTATGGGCGCCTATCTCTATGGGCGCCTACCTCTATGGGCGCCTATCTCTAGAGGCGCCTATCTATAGGGGCGCCTATCTCTAGGGGCCCCTATCTCTAGGGGCGACTATCTCTAGCGGCGCCTATCTCTATGGTCGCCTATCTGTAGGGGCGCCTACCTGCATGGGCATCTATCTCTAGAGGCGCCTATCTCTATGGGCGCCTATCTCTAGGGGCGCCTGTCTCTAGGGGCGCCTATCTCTATGTGCGCCTATCTCTATGGGCGCCTATCTCTAGGGGCGCCTATCTCTATGGGCGCCTATCTCGATGGGCGCCTCGCACCTATCTCTAGAGGCGCCTATCTCTATGGGCGCCCATCTCTAGGGGCGCCTATCTCTGAGGGCACCTATCTCTAGGTGCGCCTATCTCTATGGGCGCCTATCTCTTGGGGCACCTTTCTCTGGGGGCGCCTGTCTCTAGGGGGGCCTATCTCTAGGGGCGCCTATCTCTAGGGGCGCCTATCTCTATGGGCTCCTATCTCTAAGGGCGCCTATCTCTATGGGCGCCTATCTCTATGGGCAACTATCTCTAGGGGCGCCTATCTCTAGGGGCGCCTATCTCTAGGGGCGACTATCTCTAGGGGCGCCTATCTCTATGGGCACCTATCTCTATGGGCGCCTATCTCTATGGGCGCCTATCTCTATGGGCGCCTACCTCTATGGGCGCCTATCTCTAGAGGCGCCTATCTATAGGGGCGCCTATCTCTAGGGGCCCCTAACTCTAGGGGCGACTATCTTTAGGGGCGCCTATCTCTATGGGCGCCTTTCTCTAGGGGCGCCTATCTCTATGGGCATCTATCTCTAGAGGCGCCTATCTCTATGGGCGCCTATCTCTATGGGCGCCTATCTCTAGGGGCGCCTATCTCTATGGGCGCCTATCTCTAAGGGCGCCTCGCGCCTTTCTCTAGAGGCGCCTATCTCTATGGGCGCCCATCTCTAGGGGCGCCTATCTCTGAGGGCACCAATCTCTAGGTGCGCCTATCTCTATGGGCGCCTATCTCTAGGGGCACCTTTCTCTGGGGGCGCCTGTCTCTAGGGGGGCCTATCTCTAGGGGCGCCTATCTCTATGGGCGCCTATCTCTTTGGGCGCCTATCTCTATGGGCGCCTATCTCTAGGGGCGCCTATCTCTAGGGGCGCCTATCTCTAAGGGCGCCTATCTCTATGGGCGCCTATCTCTAGGGGTTCCTATCTCTATGGGCGCCTATCTTTAGCGGCGCCTATCTCTAGGGGTGTCAATCTCTAGGGGCGCCTATCTCTATGTGCGCCTATCTCTATGGGCGCCTATCTCTATGGGCGCCTGTCTCTAGGGGCTCCTATCTCTAAGGGCGCCTATCTCTATAGGCGCCTATCTCTATGGGCGCCTATCTCTAGGGGCGCCTATCTCTATGGTCGCCTATCTCTATGGGCGCCTATCTCTAGGGGCGCCTATCTCTACGGGCGCCTATCTCTAGCGGCGCCTATCTCTATGGACGCCTATCTCTAGGGGCGCCTATCTCTAGGGGCGCCTATCTCTAGGGGCATATATCTCAAGGGGCGTCTATCCCCAGGGGCGCCTATCTCTAGGGGCGCCTATCTCTAGGGGTGCCTATCTCTAGGGGCGGCTATCTCTAGGGGCGCCTATCTCTAAGGGCGCCTATCTCTAGGGGCGCCTATCTCTAGGGGCGCCTATCTCTAGGGGCGCCTATCTCTAGGGCCCCTATCTCTAGGGGCGCCTATCTCTGAGGGCGCCTACCTCTAGGGGCGCCTATCTCTATGGGCGCCTATCTCTATGGGCGCCTATCTCTATGGGCGCCTATCCCTAAGGGCGCCTATCTCTATGGGCGCCTATCTCTATGGGCGCCTATCTCTATGGGCGCCTATCTCTAGGGGCGCCTATCTCTATGGGCACCTATCTCTATGGGTGCCTCGCGCCTATCTCTAGAGGCGCCTATCTCTATGGACACCCATCTCTAGGGACGCCGATCTCTGAGGGCACCTATCTCTAGGGGCGCCTATCTCTATGGGCGACTATCTCTAGGGGCGCCTTTGTCTAGGGGCGCCTATCTCTAGGGGGGCCTATCTCTAGGGGCGCCTATCTCTAGGGGCGCCTATCTCTATGGGCTCTTATCTCTAAGGGCGCCTATCTCTATGGGCGCCTATCTCTATGGGTGCCTATCTCTAGGGGCGCCTATCTCTAGGGGCGCCTATCTCTAGGGGCGCCTATCTCTAGGGGCGCCTATCTCTAGGGGCGCCTATCTCTATGGGCGCCTATCTCTAGGGGCGCCTATCTCTAGGGGCGCCTATCTCTATGGGCGCCTACCTCTATGGGCGCCTTTCTCGAGAGGCGCCTATCTATAGGGGCGCCTATCTCTAGGGACCCCTATCTCTAGGGGCGCCTATCCGTATGGGCGCCTATCTCTATGGGCGCCTCGCGCCTATCTATAGAGGCGCCTATCTCTATGGGCGCCCATCTCTAGGGGCGCATATCTCTGAGGGCGACTATCTATAGGGGCGCCTATCTCTATGGGCGCATATCTCTAGGGGCGCCTTTCTCTAGGGGCGCCTATCTCTTGGGGGGCCTATCTTTAGGGGCGCCTATCTCTAGGGGCGCCTATCTCTAGGGGCTCCTATCTCTAAGGGCGCCTATCCCTATGGGCGCCTATCTCTATGGGCGCCTATCTCTAGGGGTGCCTATCTCTAGGGGCGCCTATCTCTAGGGGCCCCTATCTCTAGGGGCGCCTATCTCTATGCGCGCCTATCTCTAGGGGTGCCTATCTCTAGGGGCGCCTATCTCCAGCGGCGCCTATCTCTAGGGGCGCCTATCTCTATGGGCGCCTATCTCTATGGGTGCCTCGCGCCTATCTCTAGAGGCGCCTATCTCTATGGGCACCCATCTCTAGGGACGCCGATCTCTGAGGGCGCCTATCTCTAGGGGCGCCTATCTCTATGGGCGCCTATCTCTAGGGGCGCCTTTCTCTAGGGGCGCCTATCTCTAGGGGGGCCTATCTCTATGGGCTCTTATCTCTAAGGGCGCCTATCTCTATGGGCGCCTATCTCTTTGGGCGCCTATCTCTAGGCGCGCCTATCTCTAGGGGCGCCTATCTTTAGGGGCGCCTATCTCTAGAGGCGCCTATCTCTAGGGGCGCCTATCTCTAGGGGCCCCTATCTCTGAGGGCGCCTATCTCTAGGGGCGCCTATCTCTATGGGCGCCTATCTCTAGGGGCGCCTCTCTCAAGGGGCGCCTATCTCTTAGGGCGCCTATCTCTAGGGGCGCCTATTTCTATGGGCGCCTATCTCTATGGGCGCCTATCTCTAGAGGCCCCTATCTCTAGGGGCGCCTATCTCTATGGGCGCATATCTCTATGGGCGCCTATCTCTATGGGCGCCTATCTCTATGGGCGCCTATCTCTATGGGCGCCTATCTCTATGGGCGCCTATCTCTATGGGCGGCTATCTCTAGGGGTGCCTATCTCTATGTGCGCCTATCTCTAGGGGCGCCTATCTCTAGTGGCGTCTATCTCTAGGGGCGCCTATCTCTATGGGCGCCTATCTCTAGGGGCGCCTATCTCTAGGGTCGCCTATCTCTAGGAGCGCCTATCTTTAGGGGCGCATATCTCTATGGGCGCCAATCTCTAAGGGCACCTATCTCTATGGGCACCTATCTCTATGGGCGCCTATCTCTAGGGGCGGCTATCTCTATGGGCGTCTATCTCAAGGGGCGCCTATCTCTAGGGGTGCCTATCTCTATGGGCACCTATCTCTATGGGCGCCTATCTCTATGGGCGCCTATCTCTATGGGCACCTCTCTTTAGGGGCGCCAAACTCTAGAGGCGCCTATCTCTATGAGCGCCCCTCTTTACGGGCACCTATCTCTAGGGGCACCTATCTCTAGGGGCGCCTATCTCCAGGGGCGCCTATCTCTAGGGGCGCCTATCTCTATGGGCTCCTATCCATAAGGGCGCCTATCTCTATGGGCGCCTATCTCTATGGGCGCCTATCTCTATGGGCGCCTATCTCTAGGGGCGCCTATCTCTATGGGCGCCTACCTCTATGGGCGCCTACCTCTAGAGGCGCCTATCTCTAGAGGCGCCTATCAATACGGGCGCCTATCTCTAGGGGGCCCTATCTCTAGGGGCGCCTATCTCTAGGGGCGCCTATCTCTATGGGCGCCTATCTCTATGGGCGCCTATCTCTATGGGCGCCTACCTCTATGGGCGCCTATCTCTAGAGGCGCCTATCTATAGGGGCGCCTATCTCTGGGGGCCCCTATCTCTAGGGGCGACTATCTCTAGGGGCGCCTATCTCTATGGGCGCATATCTCTAGGGGCGCCTATCTCTATGGGCGCCTATCTCTATGGGCGCCTATCTCTATGGGCGCCTATCTCTATGGGCGCCTATCTCTAGGGGCGCCTATCTCTATGGGCGCCTATCTCTATGGGCGCCTCGCGCCTATCTCTAGAGGCGCCTATCTCTATGGGCGCCCATCTCTAGGGGCGCCTATCTCTATGGGCGCCTATCTCTAGGGGCGCCTTTCCCTAGGGGCGGGATGATGGAAAGAGGGAGAATGGGACGGGGTGATGGAAAGAGGAAGAATGGGGCGGGGTGATGGAAAGAGGGAGAATGGGGCGGGGTGACGGAAATCGGGAGAATGGGGCGGGGTGATGGAAAGAGGGAGAATGGGGCGGGGTGACTGAAATCGGGAGAATGGAGCGGGGAGATGGAAAGAGGGAGAATGGGGCGGGGAGATGGAAAGAGGAAGAATGGGGCGGGGTGATGGAAAGAGGGAGAATGGGGCGGGGTGACGGAAATCGGGAGAATGGGGCGGGGTGATGGAAAGAGGGAGAATGGGGCGGGGTGACTGAAATCGGGAGAATGGGGCGGGGTGATGGAAAGAGGGAGAATAGGGCGAGGTGATGGAAAGAGGGAGAATGGGGCGGGGTGATGGAAAGAGGGAGAATGGGGCGGGGAGATGGAAAGAGGAAGAATGGGGCGGGGTGATGGAAAGCGGGCGAATGGGGCGGGGTGATGGAAAGAGGGAGAATGGGGCGGGGAGATGGAAAGAGGAAGAATGGGGCGGGGTGATGGAAAGAGGGAGAATGGAGCGGGGTGACGGAAATCGGGAGAATGGGGCGGGGTGATGGAAAGAGGGAGAATGGGGCGGGGTGACTGAAATCGGGAGAATGGGGCGGGGTGATGGAAAGAGGGAGAATGGGGCGAGGTGATGGAAAGAGGGAGAATGGGGCGGGGTGATGGAAAGAGGGAGAATGGGGCGGGGAGATGGAAAGAGGAAGAATGGGGCGGGGTGATGGAAAGCGGGCGAATGGGGCGGGGTGATGGAAAGAGGGAGAATGGGGCGGGGAGAGGGAAAGAGGAAGAATGGGGCGGGGTGATGGAAAGAGGGAGAATGGGGCGGGGTGACGGAAATCGGGAGAATGGGGCGGGGTGATGGAAAGAGGGAGAATGGGGCGGGGTGACTGAAATCGGGAGAATGGGGCGGGGTGATGGAAAGAGGGAGAATGGGGCGGGGTGATGGAAAGAGGGAGAATGGGGCGGGGTGATGGAAAGAGGGAGAATGGGGCGGGGAGATCGAAAGAGGAAGAATGGGGCAGGGTGATGGAAAGCGGGCGAATGGGGCGGGGTGATAGAAAGAGGGAGAATGGGACGGGGTGATGGAAAGCGGGAGAATGGGGCAGGGTGATGGAAAGCGGGAGAATGGGGCGGGTTGATGGAAAGCGGCAGAATGGGGCGGGGTGTTGGAAAGCGGGAGAATGGGGCGGGGTGATGGAAAGCGGGAGAATGGAGCGAGGTGATGGGAAGCGGGAGAATGGGGCGGGGTGATGGAAATCGGGAGAATGGGGTGGGGTGATGGAAAGCGGGAGAATAAGGCGGGGTGATGGAAAGCGAGAGAATGGGGCGGGGTGATGGAAATCGGGAGAATGGGACGGGGTGATGGAAAGTGGGAGAATTGGGCGGGGTGATGGATAGAGGGAGAATGGGGCGGGGTGATGGAAAGCGGGAGAATGGGACGGGGTAATGGAAATAGGGAGAAAGGGGCGGGGTGATGGAAAGCGTGAGAATGGGGCGGGGTGATGGAAGGCGGGAGAATGGGGCGGGGTGATGGAAAGAGGGAGAATGGGGCGGGGTGATGGAAAGCGGGAGAAGGGGCCGGGGTGATGGAAAGAGGGAGAATGGGGCGGGGTGATGGAAAGAGGGAGAATGGGGCGGGGTGACGGAAATCGGGAGAATGGGGCGGGGTGATGGAAAGAGGGAGAATGGGGCGGGGTGATGGAAAGAGGGAGAATGGGGCGGGGTGATGGAAAGAGGGAGAATGGGGCGGGGAGATGGAAAGAGGAAGAATGGGGCGGGGTGATGGAAAGCGGGAGAATGGGGCGGGGTGATGGAAAGCGGGAGAATGTGTCGGGGTGATGGAAAGAGGGAGAATGGGGCGGGGTGATGGAAAGAGGGAGAATGGGGCAGGATGACGGAAATCAGGAGAATGGGGTGGGGTGATGGAAAGAGGGAGAATGGGGCGGGGTGACGGAAATCGGGAGAATGGGGCGGGGTGATGGAAAGAGGGAGAATGGGGCGGGGTGATGGAAAGAGGGAGAATGGGGCCGGGTGATGGAAAGAGGGAGAATGGGGCGGGGAGATGGAAAGAGGAAGAATGGGGCGGGGTGATGGAAAGCGGGAGAATGGGGCGGGGTGATGGAAAGAGGGAGAATGGGACGGGGTGATGGAAAGCGGGAGAATGGGGCGGGGTGATGGAAAGCGGGAGAATGGGGCGGGGTGATGGAAAGCGGGAGAATGGGGCGGGGTGATGGAAAGAGGGAGAATGGGGCGGGGTGATGGAAAGCAGGAGAATGGGGCGGGGTGATGGAAAGCGGGAGAATGGGGCGGGGTGATGGAAAGCAGGAGAACGGGGCGGGGTGATGGAAAGAGGGAGAATGGGGCGGGGTGATGGAAAGTGGGAGAATGGGGCGGGGTTATGGAAAGAGGGAGAATGGGGCGGGGTGATGGAAAGCGGGAGAATGGGGCGGGGTGATGGAAAGAGGGAGAATGGGGCGGGGTGATGGAAAGAGTGAGAATGGGGCGGGGTGATGGAAAGCGGGAGAATGGGGCGAGGTGTTGGAAAGCGGGAGAATGGGGCGGGGTGATGGAAAGCGGGCGAATGGGGCGAGGTGATGGAAAGCGGGAGAATGGGGCGGGGTGATGGAAATCGGGAGAATGGGGCGGGGTGATGGAAAGCGGGAGAATAAGGCAGGGTGATGGAAAGCGAGAGAATGGGGCGGGGTGATGGAAAACGGGAGAATGGGACGGGGTGATGGAAAGTGGGAGAATTGGGCGGGGTGATGGATAGAGGGAGAATGGGGCGGGGTGATGGAAAGCGGGAGAATGGGGCGGGTGATGGAAAAAAGGAGAATGGGGCGGGGTGATGGAAAGCGTGAGAATGGGGCGGGGTGATGGAAATCGGGAGAATGGGGCGGGGTTATGGAAAGAGGGAGAATGGGGCGGGGTGACGGAAATTGGCAGAATGGGGCGGGGTGATGGAAAGAGGGAGAATGGGGCGGGGTGATGGAAAGAGGGAGAATGGGGCGGGGAGATGGAAAGAGAAAGAATGGGGCGGGGTGATGGAAAGCGGGAGAATGGGGCGGGGTGATGGAAAGAGGGATAATGAGACGGGGTGATGGAAAGCGGTAGAATGGGGCGGGGTGATGGAAAGCGGGAGAATGGGGCGGGGTGATGGAAAGCGGGAGAATGGGGCGGGGTGATGGAAAGAGGGAGAATGGGGCGGGGTGATGGAAAGCGGGAGAATGGGTCGGGGTGATGGAAAGAGGGAGAATGGGGCGGGGTGATGGAAAGAGGGAGAATGGGGCGGGGTGACGGAAATCGGGAGAATGGGGCAGGGTGATGGAAAGAGGGAGAATGGGGCGGGGTGATGGAAAGAGGGAGAACGGGGCGGGGTGATGGAAAGAGGGAGAATGGGGCGGGGTGATGAAAAGAGGGAAAATGGGGCGGGGTGATGGAAAGAGGGAGAATGGGGCGGGGAGATGGAAAGAGGAAGAATGGGCCGGGGTGATGGAAAGCGGGAGAATGGGGCGGGGTGATGGAAAGAGGGATAATGGGACAGGGTGATGGAAAGCGGGAGAATGGGGCGGGGTGATGGAAAGAGGGATAATGGGACGGGGTGATGGAAAGCGGGAGAATGGGGCGGGGTGATGGAAAGCGGGAGAATGGGGCGGGGTGATGGAAAGCGGGAGAATGGGGCGGGGTGATGGAAAGAGGGAGAATGGGGCGGGGTGATGGAAAGCAGGAGAATGGGGCGGGGTGATGGAAAGCGGGAGAATGGGGCGGAGTGATGGAAAGCGGGAGAACGGGGCGGGGTGATGGAAAGAGGGAGAATGGGGCGGGGTGATGGAAAGCGGGTAAATGGGGCGGGGATATGGAAAGAGGGAAAATGGGGCGGGGTGATGGAAAGCGGGAGAATGGGGCGGGATGAAGGAAAGAGGGAGAATGGGGCGGGGTGATGGAAAGAGGGAGAATGGGGCGGGGTGATGGAAAGCGGGAGAATGGGGCGGGGTGATGGAAAGCGGGAGAATGGGGCAGGGTTATGGAAAAAGGGAGAATGGGGAGGGGTGATGGAAAGAGGGAAATTGGGCGGGGTGATGGAAAGCGGGACAATGGAGCGGGATGATGGAAAGCGGTAGAATGGGGCGGGGTGATGGAATGCGGGAGAATGGGGCGGGGTGATGGAAAGAGGGAGAATGGGGCGAGGTGATGGAAAGCGGGAGAATGGGGCGGGGCGATGGAAAGCGGGAGAATGGGGCGGGGTGATCGAAAGCGGGAGAACGGGGCGGGGTGATGGAAAGAGGGAGAATGGGGCGGGGTGATGGAAAGCGGGAGAATGGGGCGGGGTTATGGAAAGAGGGAGAATGGGGCGGGGTGATGGAAAGTGGGAGAATGGGGCGGGGTGATGGAAAGAGGGAGAATGGGGCGGGGTGATGGAAAGAGGGAGAATGGGGCGGGGTGATGGAAAGCGGGAGAATGGGGGGAGGTTATGGAAAGAGGGAGAATGGGACCGGGTGATGGAAAGCGGGAGAATGGGGCGAGGTGATGGAAAGCGGGTGAATAGGGCGTGGTGATGGAAAGCAGGAGAATGGGGCGGGGTGATGGAAAGCGGGAATGGGGCGAGGGGATGGAAAGCGGGAGAATGGGGCATGTAATGGAAAGCGGGAGAATGGGGTGGGGTGATGGGAAGCGGGAGAATGGGGCGGGGTGATGGAAGGAGGGAGAATGGGGAGGGGTGATGGAGAGCGGGCAAATGGGGTGGGATGATGGGAAGCGGGAGAATGGGGCGGGGTGATGGAAAGAAGGAGAACGGGGCGGGGTGATGGAAAGAGGGAGAATGGGGCGGGGTGATGGAAAGCGGGAGAATGGGGCGGGGCGATGGAAAGCGGGAGAATGGGGCGGGGTGATCGAAAGCGGGAGAACGGGGCGGGGTGATGGAAAGAGGGAGAATGGGGCGGGGTGATGGAAAGCGGGAGAATGGGGCGGGGTTATGGAAAGAGGGAGAATGGGGCGGGGTGATGGAAAGTGGGAGAATGGGGCGGGGTGATGGAAAGAGGGAGAATGGGGCGGGGTGATGGAAAGAGGGAGAATGGGGCGGGGTGATGGAAAGCGGGAGAATGGGGCGAGGTTATGGAAAGAGGGAGAATGGGACCGGGTGATGGAAAGTGGGAGAATGGGGCGGGTGATGGAAAGCGGGTGAATGGGGCGTGGTGATGGAAAGCAGGAGAATGGGGCGGGGTGATGGAAAGCGGGAATGGGGCGAGGGGATGGAAAGCGGGAGAATGGGGCGTGTAATGGAAAGCGGGAGAATGGGGTGGGGTGATGGGAAGCGGGAGAATGGGGCGGGGTGATGGAAGGAGGGAGAATGGGGAGGGGTGATGGAGAGCGGGCAAATGGGGCGGGATGATGGGAAGCGGGAGAATGGGGCGGGGTGATGGAAAGCGGGAGAATGGGGCGGGGTGATGGAAAGCGGGAGAATGGGGCAGGGAGATGGAAAGCGGGAGAAAGGGGCGGGGTGATGGAAAGCGGGAGAATGGGGCAGGCTGATGGAAAGCGGGAGAATGGGGCGGGGTGATGGAAGGAGGGAGAATGGGGCGGGGTAATGGAAGGAGGGAGAAGGGGGCGGGGTGATGGAAAGCGGAAGAATGGCGCGGGGTGATGGAAAGCGGGAGAATGGGGCGGGGTGATGGAAAGCGGGAGAATGGGGCGGGGTGATGGAAAGCGGGAGAATGGTGCGGGGTGATGGAAAGCGGGAGAATGGGGCAGGGTGATGGAAAGCGGGAGAATGGGGCGGGGTGAAGGAAGGAGGGAGAACGGGGCGGGTTGATGGAAGGAGGATGAAGGGGGCGGGGTGATAGAAAGCGAGAGAATGGGCCGGGGTGTTGGAAAGCGGGAGAATGGGGCGGGGTGATGAAAAGCGGGAGAATGGGGCGGGGTGATGGAAAGGGGGAGAATGGGGCGGGGTGATGGAAAGCGGGAGAATGGGGCGGGTGATGGAAAGCGGGTGAATGGGGCAGGGTGATGGAAAGCGGGAGAATGGGGCGGGGTGATGGAAAGCAGAAGAATAGGGCGGGGTGATGGAAAGCGGGAGAATGGGGCGAGGTGATGGAAAGCGGGAGAATGGGGCGGGTGATGGAAAGCGGGAGAATGGGGCGGGGAGATGGAAAGCGGGAGAAAGGGGCGGGGTGATGGAAGGAGGGAGAATGGGGAGGGGTGATGGAAAGCGGGGGAATGGGGCGGGATGATGGGAAGCAGAAGAATGGGGCGGGGTGATGGAAAGCGGGAGAATGGGGCGGTGTGATGGAAAGCGGGAGAATGGGGCGGGGAGATGGAAAGCGGGAGAAAGGGGCGGGGTGATGGAAAGCGGGAGAATGGGGCGGGCTGATGGAAAGCGGGAGAATGGGGCAGGGTGATGGAAGGAGGGAGAATGGGGCGGGGTGATGGAAGGAGAGAGAAGGGGTCGGGGTGATGGGAAGCGGAAGAATGGGGCGGGGTGATGGAAAGCGGGAGAATGGGGCGGGGTGATGGAACGCGGGAGAATGGAGCGGGGTGATGGAATGAGGGAGAATGGGGCGGGGTGATGGAAGGAGGGAGAATGGGGCGGGGTGATTGATTGCGGGAGAATGGGGCGGGGTTATGGCAGGAGGGAGAATAGGGCGGGGTGATGGAAAGCGGGAGAATGGGTCGGGGTGATGGAAAGCGGGAGAATGGGGCGGGGTGATGGAAAGCGAGAGAATGGGGCGAGGTAATAGCAGGAGGGAGAATGGGGAGGGGTGATGGAAAGCGGGGGAATGGGGCGGGATGATGGGAAGCGGAAGAATGGGGCGGGGTGATGGAAAGCGGGAGAATGGGGCGGGGTGATGGAAAGCGGGAGAATGGGGCGGGGAGATGGAAAGCGGGAGAAAGGGGAGGGGTGATGGAAAGCGGGAGAATGGGGCGGGCTGATGGAAAGCGGGAGAATGGGGCGGGGTGATGGAAAGAGGGAGAATGGGGCGGGGTGATGGAAAGTGGGAGAATGGGGCGCGGTGATGGAAAGAGGGAGAATGGGGCGGTGTGATGGAAGGAGGGAGAATGGGGCGGGGTGATGGAAAGCGGGAGAATGGGGCGGGGTGATGGAAAGTGGGAGCATGGGGCGGGGTGATGGAAGGAGGTAGAATGGGGCGGGGAGATGGAAAGCGGGAGAATGGGGTGGGCTGATGGAAAGCGGGAGAATGGGGCGGGGTGATGGAAGGAGGGAGAATGGGGCGGGGTGATGGAAAGTGGGAGTATGGGGCGGGGTGATGGAAAGCGGGAGCATGGGGCGGGGTGATGGAAGGAGGTAGAATGAGGCGGGGTGATGGAAGGAGGGAGAATGGGGCGGGGAGATGGAAAGCGGGAGAATGGGGCGGGGTGATGGAAAGCGGGAGAATGGGGCGGGGTGATGGAGAGCGGGAGAATGGGGCGGGGTGACGGAAAGCGGGAGAATGGGGCGGGGTGATGGAAAGCGGGAGAATGGGGCGGGGTGATGAAAAGCGGGAGAATGGGGCGGGGTGATGGAAAGCGGGAGAATGGGGCGGGGTGATGGAAAGCGGGAGAATGGGGCGGGCTGATGGAAAGCGGGAGAATAGGGCGGGGTGATGGAAGGAGGGAGAAAGGGGCGGGGTGATGGAAGGAGGGAGAACGGGGCGGGTGATGGAAGGAGGGATAATGGGGGGGGGTTATGGAAAGCGGGAGACTGGGGCGGGGTGATGGAAAGCGGGAGAATGGGGCGGGGTGATGGAAGGAGGGAGAATGGGGCGGGGTGATGGAATGCGGGAGATTGGGGCAGGGTGATGGAAAGCGTGAGAATGGGGCAGGGTGATAGAAAGCGGGAAAATGGGGCGGGGTGATGGAAAGTGAGAGAATGGGGCGGGGTGATGGAAAGCGGGAGAATGGGGCGGGTGATGGAAAGTGGGTGAATGGGGCGGGGTGATGGAAAGCAGGAGAATGGGGCGGGGTGATGGAAATCGGGAGATGGGGCGAGGTGATGGAAAGTGGGAGAATGGGGCGTGTAATGGAAAGCGGGAGAATGGGGCGGGGTGGTGGAAGGAGGGAGAATGGGGAAGGGTGATGGAAAGCGGGGGAATGGGGCGGGATGATGGGAAGCGGGAGAATGGGGCGGGGTGATGGAAAGCGGGAGAATGGGGCGGGGTGATGGAATGCGGGAGAATGGGGCAGGGAGATGGAAAGCGGGAGAAAGGGGCGGGGTGATGGAAAGCGAGAGAATGGGGCGGGCTGATGGAAAGCGGGAGAATGGGGCGGGGTGATGGAAGGAGGGAGAATGGGGCGGGGTGATGGAAGGAGGGAGAAGGGGGCGGGGTGATGGAAAGCCGAAGAATGGCGCGGGGTGATGGAAAGCGGGAGAATGGGGCGGGGTGATGGAAAGCGGGAGAATGGGGCGGGGTGATGGAAAGCGGGAGAATGGGGCGGGGTGATGGAAAGCAGAAGAATGGGGCGGGGTGATGGAAAGCGGGAGAATGGGGCGAGGTGATGGAAAGCGGGAGAATGGGGCGGGTGATGGAAAGCGGGAGAATGGGGCGGGGAGATGGAAAGCGGGAGAAAGGGGCGGGGTGATGGAAGGAGGGAGAATGGGGAGGGGTGATGGAAAGCGGGGGAATGGGGCGGGATGATGGGAAGCGGAAGAATGGGGCGGGGTGATGGAAAGCGGGAGAATGGGGCGGGGTGTTGGAAAGCGGGAGAATGGGGCGGGGTGATGAAAAGCGGGAGAATGGGGCGGGGTGATGGAAAGCAGGAGAATGGGGCGGGGTGATGGAAAGCGGATGATGGGGCGAGGGGATGGAAAGCGGGAGAATGGGGCGTGTAATGGAAAGCGGGAGAATGGGGCGGGGTGATGGAAGGAGGGAGAATGGGGAGGGGTGATGGAGAGCGGGGGAATGGGGCGGGATGATGGGAAGCGGGAGAATGGGGCGGGGTGATGGAAAGCAGGAGAATGGGGCAGGGTGATGGAAAGCGGGAGAATGGGGCAGGGAGATGGAAAGCGGGAGAAAGGGGCGGGGTGATGGAAAGCGGGAGAATGGGGCGGGCTGATGGAAAGCGGGAGAATGGGGCGGGGTGATGGAAGGAGGGAGAATGGGGCGGGGTGATGGAAGGAGGGAGAAGGGGGCGGGGTGATGGAAAGCGGAAGAATGGCGCGGGGTGATGGAAAGCGGGAGAGTGGGGCGGGGTGATGGAAAGCGGGAGAATGGGGCGGGGTGATGGAAAGCGGGAGAATGGTGCGGGGTGATGGAAAGCGGGAGAATGGGGCAGGGTGATGGAAAGCGGGAGAATGGGGCGGGGTGAAGGAAGGAGGGAGAACGGGGCGGGGTGATGGAAGGAGGAAGAAGGGGGCGGGGTGATGGAAAGCGAGAGAATGGGCCGGGGTATTGGAAAGCGGGAGAATGGGGCGGGGTGATGAAAAGCGGGAGAATGGGGCGGGGTGATGGAAAGTGGGAGAATGGGGCGGGGTGATGGAAAGCGGGAGAATGGGGCGGGTGATGGAAAGCGGGTGAATGGGGCAGGGTGATGGAAAGCGGGAGAATGGGGCGGGGTGATGGAAAGCACAAGAATGGGACGGGGTGATGGAAAGCGGGAGAATGGGGCGAGGTGATGGAAAGCGGGAGAATGGGGCGGGTGATGGAAAGCGGGAGAATGGGGCGGGGAGATGGAAAGCGGGAGAAAGGGGCGGGGTGATGGAAGGAGGGAGAATGGGGAGGGGTGATGGAAAGTGGGGGAATGGGGCGGGATGATGGGAAGCGGAAGAATGGGGCGGGGTGATGGAATGCGGGAGAATGGGGCGGTGTGATGGAAAGCGGGAGAATGGGGCGGGGAGATGGAAAGCGGGAGAAAGGGGCGGGGTGATGGAAAGCGGGAGAATGGGGCGGGCTGATGGAAAGCGGGAGAATGGGGCGGGGAGATGGAAAGCGGGAGAAAGGGGGGGGGTGATGGAAGGAGGGAGAATGGGGAGGGGTGATGGAAAGCGGGGGAATGGGGCGGGATGATGGGAAGTGGGAGAATGGGGCGGGGTGATGGAAAGCGGGAGAATGGGGCGGGGTGATGGAAAGCGGGAGAATGGGGCAGGGAGATGGAAAGCGGGAGAAAGGGGCGGGGTGATGGAAAGCGGGAGAATGGGGCGGGCTGATGGAAAGCGGGAGAATGGGGCGGGGTGATGGAAGGAGGGAGAATGGGGCGGGGTGATGGAAGGAGGGAGAAGGGGGCGGGGTGATGGAAAGCGGAAGAATGGCGCGGGGTGATGGAAAGCGGGAGAATGGGGCGGGGTGATGGAAAGCGGGAGAATGGGGCGGGGTGATGGAAAGCGGGAGAATGGTGCGGGGTGATGGAAAGCGGGAGAATGGGGCAGGGTGATGGAAAGCGGGAGAATGGGGCGGGGTGAAGGAAGGAGGGAGAAGGGGCGGGGTGATGGAAGGAGGAAGAAGGGGGCGGGGTGATGGAAAGCGAGAGAATGGGCCGGGGTGTTGGAAAGCGGGAGAATGGGGCGGGGTGATGAAAAGCGGGAGAATGGGGCGGGGTGATGGAAAGTGGGAGAATGGGGCGGGGTGATGGAAAGCGGGAGAATGGGGCGGGTGATGGAAAGCAGGTGAATGGGGCAGGGTGATGGAAAGCGGGAGAATGGGGCAGGGTGATGGAAAGCAGAAGAATGGGGCGGGGTGATGGAAAGCGGGAGAATGGGGCGAGGTGATGGAAAGCGGGAGAATGGGGCGGGTGATGGAAAGCGGGAGAATGGGGCGGGGAGATGGAAAGCGGGAGAAAGGGGCGGGGTGATGGAAGGAGGGCGAATGGTTAGGGGTGATGGAAAGCGGGGGAATGGGGCGGGATGATGGGAAGCGGAAGAATGGGGCGGGGTGATGGAAAGCGGGAGAATGGGGCGGTGTGATGGAAAGCGGGAGAATGGGGCGGGGAGATGGAAAGCGGGAGAAAGGGGCGGGCTGATGGAAAGCGGGAGAATGGGGCGGGGTGATGGAAGGAGGGAGAATGGGGCGGGGTGATGGAAGGAGAGAGAAGGGGTCGGGGTGATGGAAAGCGGGAGAATGGGGCGGGGTGATGGAACGCGGGAGAATGGAGCGGGGCGATGGAATGAGGGAGAATGGGGCGGGGTGATGGAAGGAGGGAGAATGGGGCGGGGTGATGGAAAGCGGGAGAATGGGGCGGGGTGATGGAAGGAGGGAGAATGGGGCGGGGTGATGGAAAGCGGGAGAATGGGTCGGGGTGATGGAAAGCGGGAGAATGGGGCGGGGTGATGGAAAGCGAGAGAATGGTGCGGGGTGATAGAAGGAGGGAGAATGGGGAGGGGTGATGGAAAGCGGGGGAATGGGGCGGGATGATGGGAAGCGGAAGAATGGGGCGGGGTGATGGAAAGCGGGAGAATGGGGCGGGGTGATGGAAAGCGGGAGAATGGGGCGGGGAGATGGAAAGCGGGAGAAAGGGGAGGGGTGATGGAAAGCGGGAGACTGGGGTGGGCTGATGGAAAGCGGGAGAATGGGGCGGGGTGATGGAAAGAGGGAGAATGGGGCGGGGTGATGGAAGGAGAGAGATGGGTGCGGGGTGATGGAAAGTGGAAGATTGTGGCGGGGTGACGGAAAGCGGGAGAATGGGGTGGGGTTATGGGAAGCGGGAGAATGGGGCGGGGTGATGGAAAGCGGGAGAATGGGGCGGGGTGATGGAAGGAGGGAGAATGGGGCGGGGTGATGGAAGGAGGGAGAATGGGGCGGGGTGATGGAAAGCGGGAGAATGGGGCGGGGTGATGGAAGGAGGGAGAATGGGGAGGGGTGATGGAAAGCGGGGGAATGGGGCGGGATGATGGGAAGCGGGAGAATGGGGCGGGGTGATGGAAAGCGGGAGAATGGGGCGGGGTGATGGAAAGCGGGAGAATGGGGCAGGGAGATGGAAAGCGGGAGAATGGAGCGGGGTGATGGAAAGCGGGAGAATGGGGCGGGTGATGGAAGGAGGGAGAATAGGGCGGGGTGATGAAAAGCGGGAGAATGGGGCGGGGTGATGGAGAGAGGGAGAATGGGGCAGGCTGATGGAAAGAGGGAGAATGGGGCGGGGTGATGGAAAGAGGGAGAATGGGGCGGGCTGATGGAAAGCGGAAGAATGGGGCGGGGTGATTGAAAGCGGGAGAATGGGGCGGGATGATGGAAAGCGATAGAATGGGGCGGGGTGATGGAACGTGGGAGAATGGGGCGAGGTGATGGAAAGCGGGAGAATGGGGCGGGTGATGGAAAGTGGAAGAATGGGGCGGGGTGATTGAAAGCGTGACAATGGGGCGGGGTGATGGAAAGCGGGAGAATGGGGCGGGGAGATGGAAAGCGGGACAATGGGGCGGAGTGATGGAAAGCGGGAGAATGGGGCGGGGTGATGGAAAGCGGGAGAATTGGGCGGGTTGATGGAAAGCGGGAGAATGGGGCGGGGTGATGGAAAGCGGGGTGATGGAAAGCGGGAGAATGGGGCGGGGTGATAGAAATAGGGAGAATAGGGCGGGGTGATGGAGAGCGGGAGAATGGGGCAGGCTGATGGAAAGAGGGGGAATGGGGCGGGGTGATGGAAAGAGGGAGAATGGGACGGGGTGATGAAAAGCGGAAGAATGGGGCGGGGCGATGGAAAGAGGAAGGATGGGGTGGGGTGATGGAAAGAGGGAGAATGGGGCGGGGTGATGAAAAGAGGGAGAATGGGGCGGGGTGATGGAAAGCGGGAGAATGGGGCGGGGTGGTGGAAAACGGGAGAATGGGGTGGGGTGACGGAAAGCGGGAGAATGGGGCGGGGTGATGGAAAGCGGGAGAAAGGGGCGGGGTGATGGAAAGAGGGAGAATGGGGCGGGGTGATGGAAAGCGGGAGAATGGGGCGGGGTGATGGAAAGAGGGAGAATGGGGCGGGGTGATGGAAAGCGGGAGAACGGGGCGGGGTGATGGAAAGAGGGAGAATGGGGAGGGGTGATGCAAAGAGGGAGAATTGGGCGGGGTGATGGAATGCGGGAGAATGGAGCGGGGTGATGGAAAGCGGGAGAATGGGGCGGGGTGATGGAAAGCGGGAGAATGGGGCGGGGTGATGGAAAGAGGGAAAATGGGGCGTGGTGATGGAAAGCGGGAGAATGGGGTGGTGTGATGGAAAGCGGGAGAATGAGGCGGGGTGATGGAAAGAGGGAGAATGGGGCGGGGTGATGGAAAGAGGAAGAATTGGGCGGGGTGATGGAAAGAGGGACAATGGGGCGGGGTGATGGAAAGCGGGAGAATGGGGCGGGGTGATGGAAAGCGGGAGAATGGGGCGGAGTGATGGAAAGAGGGACAATGGGGCGGGGTGATGGAAAGCGGGAGAATGGGGCGGGGTGATGGAAAGCGGGAGAATGGGGCGGGGTGATGGAAAGAGGGAGAATGGGGCGGGGTGATGGAAAGCGGGAGAATGCGGCGGGGTGATGGAAATAGGGAGAATGGGGCGGGGTGATGGAAAGAGGGATAATGGGGAGGGGTGATGGAAAGATGGAGAACTGGGCGGGGTGATGGAAAGCGGGAGAATGGAGCGGGGTGATGGAAAGCGGGAGAATGGGGTGGGGTGATGGAAAGCGGGAGAATGGGGCGGGGTGATGGAAAGCGGGAGAATGGAGCAGGGTGATGGAAAGAGGGAGAATAGGGCGGGGTGATGGAAAGAGGGAGAATGGGGCGGGGTGATGGAAAGCGGGAGAATGGGGCGGGGTGATGGAAAGCGGGAGAATGGGGAGGGTTGATGGAAAGCGGGAGAATGGGGCGGTGTGATGGAAAGCGGGAGAATAGGGCGGGGTGATGGATAGAGGGAGAATGGGGCGGTGTGATGGAAAGCGGGAGAATGGGGCGGGGTGATGGAAAGAGGGATAATGGGGCGGGGTTATGGAAAGAGTGAGAATGGGGCGGGGTGATGGAAAGAGGGAGAATGGGGCGGGGTGACAGAAATCGGAAGAATGGGGCGGGGTGATGGAAAGAGGGAGAATGAGGCGGGGTGATGGAAAGAGGGAGAACGGGGCGGGGAGATGGAAAGAGGAAGAATGGGCCGGGATGATGGAAAGAGGAAGAATAAGGCGGGGTGACGAAATCGGGAGAATGGGGCGGGGTGATGGAAAGAGGGAGAATGGGGCGGGGTGATGGAAAGAGGGAGAATGGGGCGGGGTGATCACCCCATTCTCCCGCTTTCCATCACCCCCCCCTATTCTCCCTCTTTCCATCACCCTGCCCCATTCTCCCGCTTTCCATCACCCAGCCCCATTCTCCTTCTTTCCATCACCCCACCCAATTCTCCCGCTTTCCATCACCTCGCCCCATTCTCCCTCTTTCCATCACCCCGCCCCATTCTCCCGCTTTCCACCACCCCGCTCTATTCTCCCGCTTTCCATCACCACGCCCAATTCTCCCTCTTTCCATCACCCCTCCCCATTCTCCCTCTTTCCATCACCCCGCCACATTCTCCCGCTTTCCATCACCCCGCCCCATTCTCCCTCTATCCACCACCCCGCCCTATTCTCCCTCTTTGACCAGGCAAGCTCTTTGACCAGGCAAGCTCCTAGACCAGGCAAGCTCCTGGACCAGGCAAGCTCCTAGACCATGCAAGCTCCTTGACCAGGCAAGCTCCTGGACCACGCAAGCTCTTGGACTAGGCAAGCTCTTTGACCAGGCAAGCTCCTGGACCAGGCAAGCTCACGGACCAAGAAAGCTCCAGGACAAGGCAAGCTCTTGGACCAGGCACGCTCGTGGAACAGGCAAGCTCCTGGACCAAGCAAGCTCCTGGACCAGGCAAGCTCCTGGACCAGGCAAGCTCCTGGACCAGGCAAGCTCTTGGACTAGGCACGCTCCTAGACCATGCAAGCTCTTAGACCATGCAAGCTCCTGGACCAGGCAAGCTTCTGGACCAGGCAAGCTCGTGGACCAGGCACGAGCCTGGACTAGGCAAGCTCCTGGACCAGGCAAGCTCCTAGACCAGGCAAACTCCTGAACCAGGCAAGCTCCTGGACCAGGCAAGCTCCTGGACCAGGCAAGCTCCTTGACTAGGCAAGCTCCTAGACCAGGCAAGTTCATGGACCAGGCACGCTCGTGGACCATGCACGCTCTTGGACCAGGCAAGCTCTTGGACCAGGCACGCTCCTCGAACAGGCAAGCTCCTGGACCAGGATAGCTCCTGGACCAGGCAAGCTCCTTGACCACGCAATCCACTTAACCAGGTACGCTCCTGGACCATGCAAGCTCCTAGACCAGGCAAGCTTCTGGACCAGGCAAACTCCTGGACCGGGCACGCTCCAGAACCAGGCATGCTCCTGGACCAGGCAAGCTCCTAGACCAAGCAAGCCCCTGGACCAGGCAAGCTCCTGGACCACACAAGCTCTTGGACCAGGCAAGCTCCTAGACCAGGCAAGCTCCTGGACCAGCCAAGCTCCTAGACCAGGCAAGCTCCTGGACCAGGCAAGATCCTGGACCACGCAAGCTCTTGGACCAGGCAAGCTCTTGGACCAAGCAAGCTCCTGGACCAGGCAAGCTCCTGGACCAGGCAAGCTCACAGACCAAGAAAGCTCCTGGACAAGGCAAGCTCCTGGACCAGGCACGCTCGTGGAACAGGCAAGCTCCTGGACCAGGCAAGCTCTCGGACCAGGCAAGCTCCTGGACCAGGCAAGCTCCTGGACCAGGCACGCTCCTGGACCATGCAAGCTCCTAGACCAGGCAAGCACCTGGACCAGGCAAACTTGTGGACCAGGCATGCTCCAGGACCAAGCAAGCTCCTGGACCAGGCAAGCTCCTAGACCAGGCAAGCTCCTGGACCAGGCAAGCTCCTGGACCACGCAAGCTTTTGGACCAGGCAAGCTCTTGGACCAGGCAAGCTCCTGGACCATGCAAGCTCCTGGACCAGGCACGCTCCTGGACCATGCAAGCTCCTAGACCAGGCAAGCTCCTAGACCAGGCAAGTTTCTGGACCAGGCAAACTCGTGGACCAGGCACGCTCGTGGACCAAGAAAGCTCCTGGACCAGGCAAGCTCCTAGACCAGGCAAGCTCTTGGACCACGCAAGCTCTTGGACCAGGCAAGCTCTTGGACGAGGCAAGCTCCTGGACCAAGCAAGCTCTTGGACCAGGGAGGCTTCTGGACCAAGCAAGCTCTTGGACCAAAAAGGTCCTAGACCAGGCAAGCTCTTGGACCGGGCAAGCTCCAAGACCAGGCACGCTCGTGGACCATGCACGCTCTTGAACCAGGCAAGCTCTTGGACCAGGCAGGCTCGTAGACCAGGCAAGCTCCTGGACTAGGCAAGCTCCTCGACTAGGCCTGCTCCTTGACCAGGCAAGCTCCTGGACCAGGCAAGCTCCTAGACCAGGCACGCTCGTGGACCATGCATGCTCCTGGACCAGGCAAGCTCTTGGACCAGGCAGGCTCGTGGACCAGGCAAGCTCCTGGACCACACAAGCTCCTGGACCACGCAAGCTCCTGGACCAAGCTAGCTCCTGGACCAGGCAAGCTCCTTGACCAGGAAAGCTCTTGGACTAGGCACGCTCCTGGACCATGCAAGATCTTAGACCAGGCAAGCTCCTGGACCAGGCAAGCTTTTGGACCAGGCAAGCTCGTGGACCACGCACGAACCTGGACCAGGCAAGCTCATGGACCACGCAAGCTCCTAGACCAGGCAAGCTCCTGAACCAGGCAAGCTCCTTGACCAAGCAAGCTCCTGGACCAGGCAAGCTCACGGACCAAGAAAGCTCCAGGACAAGGCAAGCTCTTGGACCAGGCACGCTCGTGGAACAGGCAAGCTCCTGGACCAGGCAAGCTCTTGGACGAGGCAAGCTCCTGGACCAGGCAAGTTCCTGGACCAGGAAAGCTCCTGGACCAGGCAAGCTCTTGGACTAGGCACGCTCCTGGACCATGCAAGCTCTTAGACCATGCAAGCTCCTGGACCAGGCAAGCTTCTGGACCAGGCAAGCTCGTGGACCAGGCACGAGCCTGGACCAGGCAAGCTCCTGGACCAGGCAAGCTCCTAGACAAGGCAAGCTCCTGAACCAGGCAAGCTCTTGGACCAGGCAAGCTCCTGGACCAGGCAAGCTCCTTGACTAGGCAAGCTCCTAGACCAGGCAAGTTCATGGACCAGGCACGCTCGTGGACCATGCACGCTCTTGGACCAGGCAAGCTGTTGGACCAGGCACTCTCCTCGAACAGTCAAGCTCCTGGACCAGGCAAGCTCCTGGACCAGGATAGCTCTTGGACCAGGCAAGCTCCTTGACCAGGCACGCTCTTGGACCATGCAAGCTCCTAGACTAGGCAAGCTTCTGGACCAGGCAAACTCCTGGACCAGGCACGTTCCTGGACCAGGCAAGCTCCTGGACCAGGCAAGCTCCTAGACCAAGCAAGCTCCTGGACCAGGCAAGCTCCTGGACCACGCAAGCTCTTGGACCAGGCAAGCTCCTAGACAAGACAAGCTCTTGGACCAGCCAAGCTCCTAGATCAGGCAAGCTCCTGGACCAGGCAAGCTCCTCGACCACGCAAGCTCTTGGACCAGGCAAGCTCTTGGACCAGGCAAGCTCCTAGACCAGGCAAGCTCCTGGACCAGGCAAGCTCACGGACCAAGAAAGCTCCTGGACAAGGCAAGCTCCTGGACCAGGCAAGCTCCTGGACCAGGCACGCTCGTGGAACAGGCAAGCTCCTAGACTAGGCAAGCTCCTGGACCAGGCAAGCTCCTGGACGAGGATAGCTCGTGGACCAGGCAAGCTCCTCGACTAGGCACGCTCCTGGACAAGGCAAGCTCCTGGACCAGGCAAACTCCTGGACCAGGCACGCTCGTGGAACAGGCAAGCTCCTAGACTAGGCAAGCTCCTGGACCAGGCAAGCTCCTGGACGAGGATAGCTCTGGACCAGGCAAGCTCCTGGACTAGGCACGCTCCTAGACCATGCAAGCTCCTAGACCAGGCAAGCTCTTGGACCAGGCAAGCTTCTGGACCAGGCAAACTCGTGGACCAGGCAAGCTCCTGGACCAGGCAAGCTCCTAGACCAGGCAAGCTCGTGGACCTGGCAAGCTCCTAGACCACGCAAGCTCTTGGACCAGGCAAGCTCTTGGACAAGGCAAGCTCCTGGACCAGCCAAGCTCCTGGACCACGCAAGCTCCTGGACCAAGCTAGCTCCTGGACCAGGCAAGCTCCTGGACCAGGAAAGCTCCTTGACCAGGCAAGCTCTTGGACTAGGCACGCTCCTGGACCATGCAAGATCTTAGACCAGGCAAGATCCTGGACCAGGCAAGCTTTTGGACCAGGCAAGCTCGTGGACCACGCACGAACCTGGACCAGGCAAGCTCCTGGACCAGGCAAGCTCCTAGACCAGGCAAGCTCTTGAACCAGGCAAGCTCCTGGACCAAGCAAGCTCCTGGACCAGGCAAGCTCACGGACCAAGAAAGCTCCAGGACAAGGCAAGCTCTTGGACCAGGCACGCTCGTGGAACAGGCAAGCTCCTGGACCAGGCAAGCTCTTGGACGAGGCAAGCTCCTGGACCAGGCAAGTTCCTGGACCAGGAAAGCTCCTGGACCAGGCAAGCTCTTGGACTAGGCACGCTCCTGGACCATGCAAGCTCTTAGACCATGCAAGCTCCTGGACCAGGCAAGCTTCTGGACCAGGCAAGCTCGTGGACCAGGCACGAGCCTGGACTAGGCAAGCTCCTGGACCAGGCAAGCTCCTAGACCAGGCAAGCTCCTGAACCAGGCAAGCTCTTGGACCAGGCAAGCTCCTGGACCAGGCAAGCTCCTTGACTAGGCAAGCTCCTAGACCAGGCAAGTTCATGGACCAGGCACGCTCGTGGACCATGCACGCTCTTGGACCAGGCAAGCTGTTGGACCAGGCACTCTCCTCGAACAGTCAAGCTCCTGGACCAGGCAAGCTCCTGGACCAGGATAGCTCTTGGACCAGGCAAGCTCCTTGACCAGGCAAGCTCTTGGACCATGCAAGCTCCTAGACTAGGCAAGCTTCTGGACCAGGCAAACTCCTGGACCAGGCACGTTCCTGGACCAGGCAAGCTCCTGGACCAGGCAAGCTCCTAGACCAAGCAAGCTCCTGGACCAGGCAAGCTCCTGGACCACGCAAGCTCTTGGACGAGGCAAGCTCCTAGACAAGGCAAGCTCCCGGACCAGCCAAGCTCCTAGATCAGGCAAGCTCCTGGACCAGGCAAGCTCCTCGACCACGCAAGCGCTTGGACCAGGCAAGCTCTTGGACCAG